GCACTTTTGGTAAGATTCCCTCCACCGTCCACGGGCCAGGTACCGAGGTGATGGGAGTCCGCCTCCCGCCTGCCCTCTAACGCATGGGGGAAGGGGGGGGGCGGTATAACCGTCTTTCCCCGGGGTTGTTTGCAGCTTTTTGGGGGGGGGGGGGGGGGCTCCAAGAGGGGGGCCCTCGGGAAGAGCCCCCCCCCCCCCCCCCCCCCCCCCGCCGCCGCCGCGCGCACGGCGCGACACACACACACACCTCTTCGGCTGCCTCAGGTTGCTGCAGCTCCAGAAGCACCTAAGGTGGGGTAAGGTAAGGTAAACGCACGAGGTGGTGGGGCAAGGGCCGGGCTGTCCCTCGCGACTCCACGTTTGGACGACAGGAGCCGCACGGCATGAAAAGTGCATGGCCCAGTGCGCGTGGGTGAGCGGTGTGGGAGTGTGTGAAGGAGTGTGTGAAGGAGTGTGTGAAGGAGTGTGTGGAGGAGTGTGTGAAGGAGTGTGTGGAGGAGTGTGTGGAGGAGTGTGTGGAGGAGTGTGTGAAGGAGTGTGTGAAGGAGTGTGTGAAGGAGTGTGTGGAGGAGTGTGTGAAGGAGTGTGTGAAGGAGTGTGTGAAGGAGTGTGTGAAGGAGTGTGTGAAGGAGTGTGTGAAGGAGTGTGTGAAGGAGTGTGTGGAGGAGTGTGTGAAGGAGTGTGTGAAGGAGTGAAGGAGTGTGTGGAGGAGTGTGTGAAGGAGTGTGTGAAGGAGTGTGTGAAGGAGTGTGTGAAGGAGTGTGTGAAGGAGTGTGTGAAGGAGTGTGTGAAGGAGTGTGTGGAGGAGTGTGTGAAGGAGTGTGTGAAGGAGTGTGTGAAGGAGTGTGTGAAGGAGTGTGTGGAGGAGTGTGTGAAGGAGTGTGTGGAGGAGTGTGTGAAGGAGTGTGTGAAGGAGTGTGTGAAGGAGTGTGTGAAGGAGTGTGTGAAGGAGTGTGTGGAGGAGTGTGTGAAGGAGTGTGTGAAGGAGTGTGTGAAACACCTCGTGCTGCTGCAGCAGTGACTCGCGCGCCGCCGCCGCCCCCTCCCAGTCCCGCACCACCTGGTTTCTCAGTCAGCAGTCAGGACTCGCGACATCCCGCGCACGCCGCGCCCGGCGTCTGCCCACACCTCGTGCACGGAGCGGCAGGTGAGGAGGTAGCAGAGGTCGCGGAACCTGTTCACAGCTGGAGGTGTGAATAGACGCCGTTCACAGAGCAGGTGAGGAGGTAGCAGAGGTCCCGGAACTCTGCGGGCGACGGCGCGCAGCTCTCGAGTGGCTTGAGCCGCTTCGTCAGCTGCGTGAACGCCTTGTGCTGCTCGCCTCCGTCCAGCAGCTCGAGAAACTGCAGCCGGTACGCGGCGTACAGGAACACCTTCCATGCACCGCCATTCTGTCAGGAACCAACTGGGAGCTGCAGCCGGTGCACGGCGTCTAGGCAGGCCTTCTGCTCGCACGTGCCGGCGATGGCACGGGGCACGAGCTTCTCCATCTCGGGCCAATCGCCGTCGAGCACCGCGCGCCGGAGCCGCCGCACCGCCGTCCGCGCGCGCTGCGCATCGAGCGAGCGCACGTTGGCCTCGTCCTGCACCGTCGCGACCTACCGCGGTTTGGCAAAGGACGCGTCGTGGACGCGTCGTGGGCGTGCTCGTGGCGTGGCACCGGCGTGGCGGCGAGCGGAGCAGCGGTCGAGGCGTGGGACAGCCTCAGGAATTGCAAGCCTCGGAGGCTTGGGGCGGGAGAGGCGCGCAGGCTCACCGCCGCAGTGTAGCCCTCGTCGTGCAGGTACTGGACGATCATCTGGAGGATCTCCTGCTTCGTCCGCGCGTCCTGTCCGTCCACGAGCAGTTTGCCGGCCGCAGGCGGGCAATTCGTGCCGTTCATCTGTCGAGAGAGAGGTCAGCCAAGCCAGCCCTGCGTTCGGACTTTTTGCGGGGTATGGTGTGGTCAACTCACGCCGCCCCCATACCTACCTACATACATACATAGTCTTGCGAGGGGTGGATGCTAACCTCGCGTGGGTAGGAGGTGCTCTGCGAACTGCCTCGCGCGAGGGGCGTGTGGCATCTCTCGCGAGTCTTGGAATAGTCTTCCCTGACCCCGCCCGCCTGCCCGCCTGCCCTGCCCAGCTGGCTGATAAGATCTTTTCACCTTGACTTGGTGGAGTACAGGCGCGGGGGGCGTGTGGCTGAGACTGAACTGGCTCGCCTGCCAACCTCGAAGGGGCTGCCGTCCACCCGTCGCTGCTCAGGCGTCAGGCCGGGGGAGGGGGGGAGACCTCCTGTTCCTCGCGGAACGGGAGTAGGCCCCTCCTTGCCCGGTCAGGAAGCAGGGCGGTGGTCGTGCCATCGTCGCTTCGAAGGCACACACGCACGCCGCATTCGTCGCCGGCGCGCGACAGGCTCCCGTCGGCCGGACTGTCCTCGACGAGTGGGTGTCGCCAACCAAAGCGACACGCACTCGAGGGTAGTGCCGACGGGACGCGGCTCGAGGGCGACTCTCGCGAAGGCACGGCTGGCAACCGTGGCGTGGGGCTCGCGTTCGACAAGACCGGGATCGCTCTACCGGCAAACCTCTCGCTGACATGCGCGCCCCGTCGAGCTGACGGCGGGCGCGCTGAGGTCGCACGCCAAGCCAAGTTATATGCCAATGGCATGCGATCAAGAATCGGCTCACGCGCCTCTACTCGCATACGCTCACCCATAGAATTGTCACCGCCAGTGAGTGCGAGATAGGGCTAGCGGCTGGCGGCTAGCCCCTGAGGAGAGTGACCAGAGACACCTCACATGACCCCACACACGGTCTAGTCCGGCCTCGCGGTCGGCGGAGATTGCTAGAGGACGAGCAAGACTGCTCCAGCCTCACGCGCTCGCCCCTGTCGTCTGTTGTGTTGTTGTGCCCTTGTTTGTTCCTTCGGCGACTTGGCTGGGGGAGACGACAGGGGGGGTGCGCGGCCTTGAGTTATGTGTACGCCAACTCAGGGTGTGTGGCAGCCAGCTGATCAGCTGGCTGTGTGTCTTGTGAGCTTGTTTGTGTCTGTGTGTCGTTCGTGCGTGTCGCCATCATCTGTCCCGCGTCCACCCATACCGCGTTGGTGTCCAGTCCGAGCCTGACTGTTGTTCATCTTTCTACATACATACATACTCACGCTCAAACGCCCACGATGTTGTGGAGGGGACATATGCTGATGATCCTGGCCCGATTGGTGCGCTCAGAAAGCTTCTGGGGCGGTCGTTAAGATTCGCTCCCCGCACACCGGCCCGGAAGTATGGTACCCTAGATTCTTTTGCCTTTCGGCGCAGCTCCGCCCTCCTCGCAGCATATCTTGGCCCCTCGAGTCTATCGAGCTCTCCTCGCGCAAGGACGAGTCTTCTGACGCCCACTGCGATCATTTGCCGCCACCCAGCGGGCCAGATGCTCGGATTTCTCGCTTTTTTTTCGGGTATGGAGTCCTTCATGTGGCGTACTCACTAACACAGCCGGGGATGCCGTCTCCGTCCGAGTCGGGATCCAGCGCGTCAGGCAGGCCGTCGCCGTCCGTGTCGGCGGTGTTGGACTCCTTGGCGTCGGGAATGCCGTCGCTGTCGCTGTCGGCCGCGCCCTCCTCGGCGTCGGGCTTGCCGTCGCTGTCCGAGTCGGGGTCGATCGAGGTAGCCGGGGATGCAAACGCCGTCCACGGAGCCCTCCACCGAGTTGGGGATGTCGCCGTCCGAGTCGGGATCCAGCGCGTCAGGCAGGCCGTCGCCGTCCGAGTCGGGGTCGAGGTAGTCGGGCTTGCCGTCGCTGTCCGAGTCGGGGTCGAAGTAGTCGGGCTTGCCGTCACCGTCGTCCGAGTCGGGGTCTGGGCACGGGACTGGCGCGCACTGGCACTAACACAGGTACACTGGAAAAGAATTTTCGGGCGCCGTCTCACCGCACCACAGGCACGGGATCGGCGCGACAAAAGTAAAAAACAAAAACTCTGACACGAAGTGTTTGGTATTGCTAACAATCTCTCTCTCTGGCGCGCACTGGCACTAACACAGCATACACAGGTGCACCACGGGAGCCAAAAAAGAAGTAGAAAGTAGCTCGCCCACGAAGGTGCCCCGGACGCGGACACGAGGCCAGCCACGGTGGAGCGAGGGGAATGTTGAGTGAGTGAGTGAGCCGTGCGAACGCGGACGCTGGGACCGGAGAGCGCGCCCGCCTTCCCGTCGCCTGCAAGCTGCGCGCATGTCTGCCATCCACGCGACTCCCTCGCCGACGCCGGCAATATGAGTAAAGGAGCCTGTCACCTGCTGCCGTCGGCGTGCCGGTAGACGTGCTAGGCCGATGCTAGGTCCAGGACACTTGCAGTGGACCCTCGTGCAAGGCAGATGCAGAAGCCAAATGCGTAGCAGCGTCCTACTCGTCGAAGCGTGAGAAGGCAAAGTGGGTAGAATATGGGGACCTCATCTCGTACAAAGCAGCCTCCCCCTCGATTGCACCCTCAGCCATGGCCACGGTTGTAAAATTGCCTGCGTCGGGATACTTGTCCAGGAGGCCATACCGTGGCGTCAAAGAAGAGAATGACTGCCCAATGATCCCATGCGGAAGTGATCGCGCGGCGGCATCGCCCCTACCACTAAAACTGACATCCAGGCGGTGTTTTGGGCCCGAGATCCTGTCATAGACACGGTTACCTTGCACTACGATAGACCAGTTCCCGAGAGTGAAAGTGGCGGTGGAAAACGTCATCTCAATCCTGAGTTCGCCACATTGTTTGGTCCCCCACCTTCCAAATTGGAAGTGACGGCGCTTGCACGACCCGTTGATGACCTTCCATCCCCAGTTGTCGTCATTTAGCTCGGTTGCCCACATTGAGGCATTCGTCGGGGATCTAGCGCGGACGACAATATGCGCTTCGGTTATGAAACTACCGTGGACAGTGAGCTTGCCACCATGCAGCAGAAATGTTGCATCCTCAGTCTTGACATTTACGGCCAACCATGGGGCGGAGAAGAAGTTGTACAAGACGCCGTTGCGGCCCCGAAAATCAGCCTTCCCCCCGTGCGCAAAGTGAATATGAGGGTCTTGGCGCACCGAGGCAGGCATGATGCGGCCCTCTGCGTCAGGCGGTGGAGGCAGCGGCAGTGGCGGCGGCGCGGGCGGCGGGTCGCACATGGCGTAGTGTGTCACCCTGGCGTCCACGTCCAGAGCGCTTGCGTCGTTGCTGTTGCATGTGACGCAGAACGACGTGCTGCCCACACTCTCGCCGTAGCTGAAGCCCTCGCACGCCGCCGCGGCGGCGCAGTCGGTGTAGCAGTCGATGAAGCTGCCGCCCTGGGTGCCGCTGGTGGGTGAGAGGCGGTAGCCGCCGCTCGCCGCGCACTTGCTGCCTGCTGCTGACAGCGAAGTGCAGGTAGACGCTGACATTGCACGGCTCTGCCCCGAGAGCCGAGTTTCGCCAGCAGGCCCCCGGTGTACTCGAGTAGGCGTCGAGATGGCGATGAGGGGCAAACGGCCACGACACGCTTTTATGATCTATTAGCTTGACACCCATACCGCGTTGGTGTGTGTACTTGTTACGTGAAAACCCGCTGGGACCCGGACGCCAGCACACACGGCTAGATTTCATGGCGGGCCGCCTAGGCCCTGGGGTCGGAGTCAGAATCGGTTGGGTGGCCGCGCAGGGCGCGGGCTTCGCTTTCGGGGGCGGTCAGGGAGGGGTCGGGGCGCTGCAGGGGAGCGCGAGGCGGTGCGGGCCTCCTGGGCCACCCGAGAGGCTTCAGCATCTGGGTGCGGCGGCGGCGGGAGGGCGGGCCGGTTGCGGCCGGTAGGAGCTGGGAGGCATTCGCCTCGCGCGGTGGCGGTGGCAGCCGCGCGAGAGAAGGGCCGGCGGGGAGCTCGGAGGCGGTGGCCTCTGAGACAGGGCGATGGCGTTGGCGGAAATGCGAGAGCGTGTGGGCAATGATCCCCTCCCAGTGGCCAGGGTCCCCTCGAGCAGGCCGCTCGCGGCGCGGCTGTGGCCGGCGGGGCTGAGACGCGAGTTTGTCGAGGGACTGCTCGAGGGCACGGTTGGCGGCTTCCTCTGCAAGAGCAGTTGCGAGATGGTCGTCCCCGTCAGACGGAGGGTCGTCGGAAGAGTCATCACCCGAGGAGGTGTCCTCGGGGGAGCCGTCGGTGGGTGGCGCGTCCTTGGTAGAGGAGCGGTTCGCGCGCAAAGACTCGAGCAGGCCAGAGGGGAAGCGGGGGGCGTAAGTGTATTGGCGGTCTAGGCCTAGGGCCTTGAGACGCGCGCGATCGTAATGCGAGGACCTCCGGTAGAACCCACGGGGGCCGGTGGGCCGGTGGGCATACATGGGGTCATGATCGCGGTACAGAGGGTAGCCAGATATCTCGAGGTGGGAGATGACGCCAAATTGCTGACGCACGTGATCTCTGAAGCGCCATTGCTGCTCCGCCTTGGCCAGAGCCCGCTTCCGTTGCCCCCTCTGCCGAGCACTCGTGGGCGTTCCAGTCCGAGCCTGGCTGTTCTTCACCTTTCTACCTAACCTAACTGGATAGGGTCGAATCCGCGTGGTACGGGCGGGAGAGAGAGAGAGAGAGAGAGAGAGAGAGAAAAACCGGCACTTTTTCGGTGCTGGTAGCCCCCCCAAAACAGGCGCGCGCAGCGCGCCCAGGGGCGCCGCAGGCGCCCCAAGCGGCGCGGAGCGCCGCCGCAGGCGGCGGACAGCAGGTGCGCGAAATTAAACGCCATTTTCGGCTCCGCGGTTTTGCCACTAACATTGAAATCCGGTACAAAACGACTTAGCCGAAACAACAGACAGACAGACAGAGAGCACACACGTTCGAGACGGGGGTGCGCCGACCACCGTCGCGGACCCAGTAGAGCTAGATGGTCCCACATGATGCGCCCTTAGCCTCTGAGCTCGTCCTAGACGTTTTAGGGAAGCGTGGGCAGACCAGAACGCGGCCACGGCGACGCTCCGAGGCTATCAGCAGCGCTGGCGGCGATCGTGGCGACGGCGCCTCGCCGCTGCAGCGGCACAGAATCGAGGAAGTGGCGTTGGTGGCAGCATCAATGAGATATGAAGGCGGCCGTAATGCTGGTGGCGCCTTCGAGGGCGGCGGGGAGGGCGGTAGCAGCGACGGCGGTCGAGTCATGTGGCAGGGGTGGCAAGATGCAGCAGGGAGGCTTGAGTTAGCGACGCGGGGCGGTGGCGTGCCAGCAGGTAAGCGGCGGCGGCGGAGAGCAGGTGCGCGAAATAAAGGCCAATCTTGAGATATCCATTTTGCACCACCTTTGGATTTCTGGTACAAATTGACTTGTGGATCTTGAAGGCACGCGCAAGAGCGCACCAGGCAAGTTGACTCAACCTCGGATCTCGCTGCCGCTAAGCGTGGCGTCGATTATCAAACGAGCGGTGACAGTAGCGGTGGCAGCGGCGGCAGCGTCGACAGGAGCACCTACTGCAGTGTCAAATGTGAGCTGGGAGGCGGGAGGCAGATGCAATAGGAGCGGGAGAGTGAGATCGTCAGCCAGCAAGGCAGACCTTTACGGCGCGGCTGCGGGCGCGTTTGCAGTGACATGCGATCCATGTGGCAGCAAAGGCACGGCGGGAGTAGCGCGTATGCAGGCTGGTGAGCGAGGGTGGCGCGTCGCGAGTGGCGGTGCAGCCAGTCGGTGGCGGGTGCTGGCGACCGGCAGAGAGATGCAGACGGCGCGAGAGATGACCCTGCGGAGAGGCGAGGTGACGGGCGATCCGCGACGGTGGGAGAGGGCTGAGCATCGCCATGTCTCGCTCCGGCACCATCTTGCCGAAGCGCAGGCCCGGGAAGGCGGTGTTTTTGATGTAGCGGAGCCGCGCCGTGTCGTGCTTGTTGTACCGCCCTTGGCGGCCGGCGTAGCGCTGGTGCACACCGTGCAAGATCGACTGCAGCTCGAGCTGGTGGCTGACGATGTCCTCGCCGCTCTGCAGCGCCGGCGACAGGCACATGGCGCCAGCAGAGGAGATCTGCGAACAGGGCGAGTCGACGCTGGCAGGTCAAGCAGCGTCGACTCGCTACCAGCAACGAATGGGTACCCTCCCCAAAACCGCCAATGGCCGTTATCCGTTAGTGCGGACGTCGCCGCGGCTCGCCTCTGCCGCGGCGGCTGCTGCGCGCACGCGGCGGCGCGGCTCTCTCGCGAGACGGCTGGCGACGCGGCTCGCCGCCGACATGCGCTGCGCTCGTCCGACAGTCCGCAGCGTGGCGTGCGCGGCGCTGCGCGCGGCTTTGCGAGCGCTTCTGCGCCTGCACTGCCTCTCCCTGTTGCTGCTGGTGGTGGTGATGATGCTGCTGCTGTGCATATGCTGCTGCTGGCGCGGCGCGGCTCTGAGACTGGGCTCGACGCGCGCGTCGCAAGCATCTGACGAGGCGGGCGGCGTCGGGCAGGTGCGCCTCTCTCTTTGGTGGTGGTGCTGCTGCTGCTGCTGCTGCTGGTGGTGCAGATGCTGCTGCTGGTGCGGTGCGGCTCTCCGACTCGACTCGGTGCGCGCGTTGCGGCGATCTGACGCGGCGGGCGGCGTCGCGGGCGGCAGCGATCGCGGCTCGACGGTGGAGGTGGAGGCTGGTGGCTGTGGTGGACTTTGAGTTTATTTCATGGTGGAGTACGGGGACCGGGGGGTCAACCGGGAGGCAGGGGGTTCGACCTGGCGACGGAGGACCGTGGGCCATCGCGGGGACTGCTGCGTACGGAGGACGCGGCAGGCAGATCCGGATGGTCTCACCCGGTGGGAGGCACCGAGGCGTCTGGGACGCTCCACTCTACCTTAAGCTCCTGAGGGGCGCGTGGTTTTAACCACGTAGTACGACTACAGCCCACCACAGACACCCTCCCTCTCCACACGTGTGCACACACCCTCACCCTCTCCCCTCTCCTCTCTCTCTCTCTCCTCTCTCTCCTCTCCTTGTCTGTGCTGTCTGCCTGATTCAGGCACTAATTCTGCCGATGCGTGATTGTGTGTGGGCTGCTCCGAGGGGGCCCTGTGCGATCCGATGGGTAGGGAGTCTGTGCCCGGGCGGTGTCCGGTGCGGAGTCTCTCTCTGATCCCACCTGTGGTGTTGGGTGTGAGGTCGTGGAAGCTTCGATCCCAAGGGGGGGAGCCGAGCCCACTCATAACCAACTCTCAGGGGCAGTAGGTGGGCGAGCCTCGAGCGCGCTCATCTCGATCGTCAAGGCGTCGCTACGCGCGGTCTTCCGCGGGGGGAGCTTCGTCGACGGGTGCGGGAGCGCGGCGCAGCCAGTGCCGTGGCGATGCCTCCGGCTGTTTGCGGCGGGCGGCTTGCTGCTCACTGCGATGGCGAAAAACTCGTCTCGCCACACGCCAAGGGCTTATGCTCTGGCGAGACGTGAGGCACATGCGCCCAGGAGGGGAGGGAGCATGTGTAACGACACTGCTAGAGATGCCTTTCGGGGCCCAGAGATAAAACTTCTGTGATGCCATGCGTGACCTAGTAGTGTCCCCAGCTATGGGCGTGTCCACGTTGGAGCCAGGTGTGGTGTGGGCGCGAGAATAGCTCCGCCGTTCATGGAGGCAACCGATGCGAGTCGACTGGTGTGTGTCGTCGTGGTTTCGTATCAAGAATTCTCTCTCTCTCTACGGGCGGGACCCCTCGATCGTCTCGCCCTCCCTCACTGGTGTGTTCATTGGGGGGGGGTCATAACAAACACGGTACAGGATCGAGGTGCACGCTGCAGAAGCAGTGTCGTCCCCACTCTCCCCGACGGTGATGGCGGTGTGACCGATCGAGCTACAAGAGGAGCTTGTTCAGCAGGATCAGGGGTGGGCCGAGCAGTTCCTCACTCACTTCCTCAATGGGTGAGCATCAGACCTCGGGCGGGTCTTCCCTTTCACCCATCGGCTCACAACGAAGGCGCTCTCAAAAAAATCCCGCTTCGCGCGATATCTCGCCCGTATCTCGCCGATCCACAAGCTCTTTGCTGCTGTTGACAACGAACAGCTCCATGGGCGCCTCGAGTCCCAGTGGCAAAACACAGCAGTGCTGTCAGCCTTCATCGCGAGCATCTCGATTGGGTGCGTCTTTACCGAGATTGATCTCGATGAGACGGACCGTGACTTCAGCGCGAAAAGACCATTCGGTCGATCTTCTTCCTCGCAGCGACCCTCTCCTCGGTGGCCCTCCTCGTGGCCACCGTCCTCCTCATCTTGAACTTGACGTCGCTCACGCTCATCCCCATGCAGTACGTAGACGATCTGCTTTACAAGAGTGCGCTGCTGCCGCTCGCAAGCACCCCCCCCCCCCCCCCAGACGTCCAGCCCACTTTCCCGTTTAAACCCAGAGCTCACCAGATCGAGACCGGCCGCCGCAGTGGGCGCCGCCGAGGGCATCCCGGCGGTCCTCACCGTCGTCGCGCTGGTCCTCTTGCTCGCGTTGTTTCCACTGTACATGTTCATCCTGTTCGGCCACAGGGAGCTTTACGTCGTTCTCGTGTTCACAGTCCTCTCTACAATATCTGGGCTGGCCTATTTTGCATGGATGACGGCCTCGCAGGCCCAGTTCCTGGACCAATACCTGAACAACTACGCAGACAAAGGCGGCGAGGCGAAGCGCACTCCAGCTGGCGACGTCCAGCTGACGAGCGACCCGAGCACGAGCTGAACAGCAAGCATGCTTAGTACACAAAACAGGTTACATGCCTTGTGCGTGTTTGGCCCCCCCCCCCGTTTGGTAAGGTAAGGTAAGGTAAACTTCTCCACACACACGAGGTGGTGGGGCAAGGGGGGGCAACCCTCGCGTCTCCACGTCTGACGACAGGAGCCCCACGGCATTCAAAGTGCAAGGCCCGGTGCGCGTGGGTGAGCGGTGTGTGTGTGTGTGTGTGTGTGTGTGTGTCCCCGCGTTTGCGAAAGGGCGTGAGCGAAAGGGCGTGCAGGTGCACGCGTTTTGTTTGGCACGTTTGCGTGTTGAATCGTACGTCTAGATATTGGTCGGATGTATACTGTATGTGTAGAGTCTACCGGCTAAAAGCCGTACAGAGCACGGATGTGATTGTGTGTAGCGTGCTTTTAGGTTAGAGCCGTACCTGGCACTAGACCACAGACAAGTCGTGAAATGCCTTTGGGCGTTTAGTGGTGCGCTTTTCACGTTTGGGCGGCGGCCGGGAGGGCCCACGGCCACACGTTGAGCATGACGTCCGGCGCGTGCACATTTGGATAGTCAAGCGGCGTCGGGAACGCCTTGGCCGCCCTCGCAACGCGCGCGGCATCGGGGACGAGGCGGCGACTGAGGTAGCTCACCTCGAGCGTGCGTGGCACGAGCGTGCCGAGCACTTCGGTGAACTTTTGCGCGGCGGCGTCAGCATCAACGTCGAGCCCGTGGTTGTTGACGTGGACGTGCACGACGACGAAGTGAACATTGAGCTTCTCGAGCAGCGCCGCGTGGAAGCCCATGGAGGCCAGCTCATCCAGCCCGTGAAACTCGATGACCAGGTGATCGAATGAATCGAGCACGGCGCCCGGGCACGCCCACAGCGCCTCCCACTCTGCGCCCTCCACGTCGCACTGCAGGACCTTTCGCACGTCGAGCTCGCCGAAGCGGCGCACGTGGCTCTCGAGCGTGTCGAGGCGCGCCGCGGCGTCGCGCGACGCACCGAGGCCCTCGTCGTAGAAGGTAAACTGCGGCAGCGGCGGCGTGTAGGCACCGCCGAGCGTCATATCGAATTGGCGCACCAGCCTCAACCCATGCTGCGTCACCAGCTCGGCGTCGAAGCTCACCTCCTGCGAGACGCCGTACGAGTAGCACACGTCGCAGCCGCGCGGCGATACCATCACGTACCCGCCGTCGCCAAAGTAGCGCGTCGCGGAACCACGCTCGACTCGGCGCGGCGCGGCGCCGACGCGCACGAGCGGCATGCCGGGAACATCGTACACCACCAACTGCCGCAGCAGCCGTGACGCGAGGCTGAGCAGTCCACACGGCCCGAGCGCCACCAGCAGGCGTGGCGAGTGCGCGAGCAGCGCGCACACGCTCGCGTGGTCGCCACCGCGGCAGCGCGCGGCGCAGTCGAGCGGCGCGCCGTAGCCACTCGCCTGGTTGAATGGCCAGCGCGGCGGCGGCACCACAGCCGCCTCGAGGCTCTGGAGCGGCACGCCGTCGGTGCCGAGGCCCACCTCGTCCATGTCGAGCTCCCACCATGCCTCGCCGTCACTCTCCATCGTCTCTCCATCGTGCATTGGCTAGGAGAATTTCACATACACTAGCAGGCTGGCTCGCTAGTCGCTCGCCGGGCCCCGCGCAGCACACAGCCTTTTTAATTGCATTGCCGTTCTTAACGGAGTCGCTTAGGCGGCTCCGGTGGTGTGCCGGTGATAGTACTAGCACGCGCCAGTTCGCACCTGTGTCGAGCCTGTGTCCTGTGAGAGAGAGTTGTTTTGTTTAAATTCTTTTCTTTAGAGTTGTTTTGTTTAAATTCTTTTCTTTATAGGCTGTCCTCCTTTTGAGTTTTGACCCCCCGCTAAACGCGCGAGGCGGTGGCGGCGGTGGTGCGGGGGATTGACAGGGGAGGCGGCGGGATTGACAGGGGATGGGGCGGCCACGAGCGGAGCGGCGGCGAGAGGGGGGGCGGCGGCGAGGCGCCAACGAGCGACGGCCTGCAGATGCAGCGTCTGTCTGTCGTCCTCCACACCGCTGTGGCGTGGCAGACGGTGAACGAGCTAGCGTGCGGGGAGAGCGGCATTGTGCATGGTGCGGAGTGCATTGCCGTTCTTAACGGAGTCGCTTAGGCGGCTCCGGTGGTGAGCCGGTGTGTGTGCCAGTCCGCGCCAGTCTGCGCCCTTGTGTCGTGCCAGTGTGTGCTGTGAGAGAGGCTTGTGTTTTAAGAGTTCTTTTTCGAAAACGCGCACGGGCGCGCGCGCACGCCGCCGCCGCCCGTCGCCCCGCCGGCAAAACCGTCAGGTCCGCCGGGCGCGCCGCGACGCGTCGCCGCAATGGCGGGCAGTGACGTGGTGGAAGCCATGCAGCTCGCCCTCGAGCCATTTCATGTATATGCAGCACCTTGCCGACGACTTTGGCGTTTGGGCGGCGCAAGCCGGCGAAAAACAATCGCTCCAGAGCTGTCGGTAACTCCGTACACAGAGCGAGAGCTGCCACTTGCCAGCACCCCGCCCAGCACCAGAGCTCTGCTGCTAGGGGGGGGGTCCCGACCCCCCCAGCACCAGAGACAATGACTGACCCGAGACAGATAGACAGAGTGACACGGGTCACAGCTTGCGCGATCCTCGCCCGATGCTTTCTTGCTGAGCGCTAGAAAACGACGACCGCTCCGCGAGACTCGCGTTCCACCTTGCGATGTTCTCGGGGTGCTCCCTGTTGACGAGTTTGCCCTTCAGATGCGGCGGCACGTTGTCGCCAAAGCGGTGAGCGGTGTGCGCGCCGTCCCAGGAGAGGTGCCAGTTGTTGACACCGAAGCGCGGGTTGTCCATGAGCGACGCGAGCATGGAGTTGCAGCACGTGATGCTATCGAAGACGGGCAGCCGGGTCGCCGCGCGCACGGCGTCCGAGTAGGGCGGAAGCTCCGTGCACTCAAACAGGATGGCGCGGATCGGCTTGGCCGTGCCCGCGTGTTTGGCAACGGTGTCCTCTGCCAGGCGGACGAGGTGCGGCACGACGGAGTCGACATCGACGCGGTCACCATTCGCGACTGCCTCGAAGCCAGGCACGTCCTCGCAGCCGACGATGACGAAGCGCGTGTCGTCCGGGTCCACGCCGCACTCCTTCTTGATGATCTCACGCATGGGCTTGAGCGACTCGCCGTTGGCGGTGAAGAGCGCGATCTGCTCGTCGGCGGCGTAGGCACATACAACGGCGGGCAGCTGGCAGAGCGACGACATGAAGACGGGCTTGCTGGTGACGGACCGTGCGAGGGCCTGAAAGTACATGAAGAAGCCGCAGTCGCCTGTGATGCCCGCCACACCCTGCTCGTCGAGCCACGTGATGGCGTCAATGAAACGCTGCTTGACGTCGTCAGGCAACTCGCCACTCTGGCATAACTCAAAGGTCAGGCCGGGCACGACACGATAGAACACGTCGTAGTAGAAGGAGCCCGGGTGGTCAACGTCACCGAGGGCGGGCGGGTAGTCGTAGTCGAGCCGTATCACGCCCAGTGAGGGGTGATCGGCAACGAGCAGCTTGGCATCATCATTGGCGGGCGGCAGCTGCTTGAAGCGACCGCCTTCGTCAAACTGGGCGTGATGGCCCACCTCATGGAAGCGACTATCCTCAATCGCCGCGAGGCGGCTGTCCTCAAACTGGGCGTGATGGCCCACCTCATGGAAGCGACTATCCTCAATCGCCGCGAGGCGGCTGTCCTCAAATGACGCGCCCGACCGCAGAGTCGACCCGGCGCAGCCCATGGTGGAGAGATATCTCTGGTCGACGGCGGTCAATCTCACGATTGTCGATCAAAACCGGCGGGCTTTGTGACGCCGTTTACGCAATGGATTTGCTTTCGTTTTTCTTTTCGTTTCTTTTTCTTTTTCTTTTTCATTTGCGCGGCGACGGAGGTGGGGACGGACGGGCGCTAACTATGGGCGACTACATGACGAAGGTTCGAGGACGACTACTCGCCGCCTGGGTCGTTTGGGGCGCGCGGCTCGGTGCTCTGTGGTCGGATTTGTGACGCCGCCGCACCGCGCCGCGGCCGGGGGCCCTCCGGAGGCCGAGGATGGCCGTGACGGACCGGGACGAGCTCTGGGAGGTAAAGTGTCAGTGTAATATTGTAGAAACCAATCTTTCATGTCCACAATATCTCTCAGTCTAGCTAAGCCTGGGAAGGCGATGCCGGGGCCGTACAGCAGCTTGATGGTGCTTCGCCGGCGTGCGTCCCGGAGCGGTCCCGGACGGGCGGTCCGTGGGAGGAAAACGAGGGACAGCGCCGACGGCGCTCTGATTCGACTTTTAACTTCAAACAAAGACTGCGGCGCGTGCGACTGTCAGGAGCGGATCCGTCAGTTAGTCGTGTTGCGTGTATCGCGCGCCTTGCGGGGGCGGGCGCGGAAAAGAGATAAGGAGGCGGGCGAGGTGGTATCACGCGAGGAAGGCGAGGCGATTTATCGCGCGACGCTCGAGTCGCTGTTGGCGTCCACCGGGTGGACGCCGCGCGCCGCGGAGGAGAGGGCGCGCGAGGAGCAGCGTGCGCATGTTCGGCAGATGCGCTGGGCAAGGGAGCACGGCCGGGGGGAGCCGGTCCGGTGCTTTGACGCGGAGGAGTACGACGAAGGCGACGACGCTTTCGACGCGCTCTTCGACGGGGGCTCGGGGTACGGGTGGGATTCCCCCTCGGGGGGCGGCGCTTTCTTCTAGGCGCCCGCCTTGACCCAACATAGAGGGCGTTGTGTAGCCTAGCTTTTGGGTAATATAAAGAGGCACCTTGCGCCTCGACCGCGAACCTCAGACACAGACGCGGGGTACACATGGCGACTTTGGAACGCCTGCTGGCCGGCGACGACGCCGCGCCCGCCATCCGCGTGACGCCGGAGGGCCCGGTCTTTACGCGCGGCGCGCTGCGCGCCGACGTCAAAGCCGTGTCCGTCGCGCTAGCCCGAGCCGGAGTCTTGCGAGGTGACGTGGTCTCGCTCTGCTTCCGGAACCAGGTCCGCCTCCCTCGCCGCGTGCGTGTCACAGCTCTGGCGGCCACTCTGCTGCCGCGGCAACGCAAGCGGACAGCGCGGCGGCCATTGCTGTGCCTCGCTGCTCCTCCAGAGACTGTCACCACCGCCGCCGCCGTCGCCTCGCCACACCACCTCGGCCCGGCCTTCCACCCGCCTCAGATAGAGTCGGTGATCTCCTTCCTCGCCGTCACGTGGCTCGGCGCCACCGCCGCGCCGCTCAACGCGTCGTACGCTGCCGCCGAGTTCGAGTGCGACACCGCCCCAATCCGCCCGCGCCGCCTCCCGGAACAGTCGCGGACATTTCCCTGACGTGTCCACGCAGGTACGACATGCTCAACATCTCGTCCAAGTTCCTGGTCGTGCCGACCGAAGGCCACGCTCTCGCCGAGGAGGTTGCGGCCAAGGTTGGCGTCGCCACGCTCGGAGAGGGCTAGCCGAGATACAACCGAGATGCAGCCGAGAGGCAGCCGAGAGGCGGCCGAGGTGCTGCCGAGGTGCAGCCGAGAGGCAGCCGAGGTGCAGCCGAGAGGCAGCCGAGGTGCAGCCGAGGTGCAGCCGGGTTGCAGCCGAGAGGCAGCCGAGGTGCAGCCGAGGTGCAGCCGAGGTGCAGCCGAGGTGCAGCCGAGGTGCAGCCGAGATGCAGCCGAGATGTGGCCGCCGATGCGAGCTGTGTCGAGTCTCTTCTCACGCCTCGAGCCGTGGATAGGCGTCGCCACGTCGGCCAGCGGCACGAGCGTCGCTGCGCGCGCGCGATGCGCCGTGGCCGACGGCGGCGTGACGATCCCCGAGGCGCAGCCGGAAGACACGGCCCTGTTTCTTCACACCAGCGGCACGACGGGCAAGCCGAAGGGGGTGCGCCCCTCTCGCACCACGCGCTCTCGGGCAGTCTCGGGCGATCTCGGGCAATCTCGGGCAGTCTCGGGCAATTTCGGGCGATCTCGGGTGATCTCGGGTGATCTCGGGCGATCTCGGGTGATCTCGGGTGATTCCTCACAAGGTGCCGCTCTCGCACGCAAACATGCTCGCGACGACGGCAACCTCATCGGCGGCGGACAGCCGGTTGACACTTTCGTTTTTGAGGCGCACGCCCTTCTCCTGTAGGCAAACATCACGGCGACCTACGACCTCACGGCCGCCGACAAGTGCTACCTGGTGATGCCGCTCTTTCATGTGCCCGGGCCGATGTCGGTGTTTCTTAGCTGTCGCCCTTGTGATTCGCACGATTCTCTTTTAGGTGCACGGCCTCATGTCGGCACTCTTCTCGACCCTCTATTCTGGCGGCGAGGTCATCCTGCCGGCCAACTGCGCCGGGTTCCGCGTCGAGATCTTTTGGCGCGACATTGCGGCGTGCGGCGCCACCTGGTACACGGCGGTGCCGACCATGCAGCAGCTTCTGCTCAAAGGGCTGGACAGCTATGCGGCCGCGGGCCGGCCGCAGGTGCGCTTCATCCGGTCCTGCTCCGCCTCGCTCCCGCCTTCGGTCCTGCAGTCGCTCGAGAAGGAGTTTGGCGCTCCGGTGCTCGAGGCGTATGCGATGACAGAGGCGGCCCACCAGATCTCCTCCAACCCGCTGCCGAGCCGCGGGCCGCACAAGGCGGGCTCGGTGGGCAAGGGGACCAACGTCGAGATTGCAATCCTCCCGGAGGAGGGCGAGGCGGCGCTGCCGAACGGTGAGGTGGGCGAGGTGAGCGTGCGCGGCCGCAACGTCACCAAGGCGCAGACCTTCGCGACCGCCCGCTTCGAGAGGCACAATCACGTCACTCCTTTCCTTCTTAGGGCTACCACAACCGGCCCGACGCCAACGCTGAGTCCTTCACGCCATCCGGCTTCTTCCGCACGGGCGACCTCGGCTATCTCGACGAGGAGGGCTACCTCTTCCTCACCGGCCGCAAGAAGGAGCAGGTCAACCGTGGCGGCGAAAAGATTGCGCCCGTCGCCATCGACAATGTGCTGCTTCGCTGCCCCGGAGTGTCGAGCCTCTTCGCCTTCGGCTCGCCACACGAGGAGCTTGGTGAGTCGGTGGTCGCCATCGCGGTCCTCGACCCCGGCGCAGAGGTCAGCCTTGCACAGCTGAATCGCTTCGGGCTCGACACCGGCGAGCTCTCAATGCAGTGGCTCCCCGAGGCGATCGTGTACGCAGACAAGGTGCCGAAAGGGCCGACGGGCAAGGTGCAGCGCGTCAAGCTCGCCGCCATGCTCGGCATGCCCAAGCTCTCCGCCGCCGACGCCGGCGCCGCCTTCAGCTTTGTGGACGGCGTGCTGACGCGGCTCGCGCCGCCCGCCACAACGGACGCCGGCGACGGTAACGCCGCCGACATGTGTGCCGTGGAGGCGGCGGTCGGGTCGCTGCTTGGCGTCGACGTGTCTGGCCTCGGCGCGAAGCCGCTGCAGCTGGACTCGTTCACCGCCGCGCGCCTCGCCGGCAGCCTGAACAAGCGGTTCGGGTGCGGCGTGCCGCCAAAGGCGCTGCTGCGCGGCGTCACCATGGCGGCCATCCTCAACCTCGTGCAGACGACCGAGGCAGTGGCGGCGGCGGCGTACGACTGGGAGGCGGAGGCGGCGGTGCCGCCCGAGTTGGCCGCCGGGATGGGAGGAGTGCCTTTCGGGCCCGCGGTGCCGCTTGGCGAGGCCGACGCCCTCCTTCTCACCGGTGCCACGGGCTTCCTCGGCACACACCTGCTCGCCTCCCTCCTCGCCGCCGACAAAGGCCCGGCGGTCGTCTGCGTTGCCCGCGCCGCCTCCGACGCCGCGGCCGCTGAGCGCGTCTCTGCCGCCTTGCGCGCGCGGGGAGTGTGGAGCGACGCCGCTCGCTCGCCGAAGCTGCGCTGCCTGGCCGGCGACGTGACGCTGCCAGGGTTCGGGCTCTCTGATGGGGTGGTAGCGGCGAGCCTCGCCTCGGTGCGTCTGGTGATCCACAACGCCGCCGCCGTCAACCACGCCACCGCGTACGCCGGCCTGAAGGAGGCGAACGTCGGCTCTCTTGTTCGTGCGATCCGGCTCGCGCACGGCCTGGAGGCTGCCAACCGTAAGCCGGTGCACGTCGCATTTGTCTCCACCGCCGGCGTCTGCGGACGGCGAGCCTGCCACGACGCGCAGGCGCCGCCACGGATCGAGATGGCGGCGGTGGACGGTGCCAACGGGTACGTGCAAGGCAAGTGGGTCGCCGAGCGGCTGATTGAGAACGCCAACGCCGCCGCCCGCTCCGCCGGCGCGCCGGCGCGCTACTCAATCTTCCGACCGGGCGCCATCAGCGGCCACTCTGTGACGGGAGACTGCAACATTGGAGACTCACTCAACCGGTACCTGGTTGGCTTCCGACTGCTCGGCCTCGCTCCGCCGCTGCCAGACATGCGCGTTCGGGTGGACATGTCTCCGGTGGACTGGGTGGCGGGCGCCATCGGGGGCATCGCCACTCAGGAGGCCGGCGGGGCGGCATCTCGCGAGCGCTGCGAGACGCCCTGCTTCACTCTCGACAACGGCGCCTCGCTTCCGTACGAAGACCTTCTCACGGAGCTCGACGTGCCCGTCGCACCGAGCTACGAGGCGTGGCTGGCCAAGCTGCAGGCAGATATGGGGAGATATGGGGAGATATAGGCTGGCCGAGCGGCAGGCCGCGCTGGAGGAAGTGGCCCGAGATCGCCCGAGATCGGCCCGAGAACCGGCCCGAGATTGCCCGAGAGGACCCGAGATTGCCCGAGAGGGCCCGGGGCTGTCCGTGCTGCAGGCAGCGCTGGAGGCGGAGCCCGAGACGGCGCCGCACCCCAACCCTCTGCGCGGGCTGCTCGGCGCTCTCAAGGCAGCTCCGCCCTCGTTCGGCTCGACGGGCTCCAAGGCACACATGGCCCACCTGGCGGAGCGTGGCCACCCCTGCCCGACGGTGACGCCGGCGCTGCTCCGCACCTACCTGCGCCGTTTCGAGGAGGAGGGGGCGCTCCCGCGCGCCGCATGAAGAGGCCGCAGAGGAGGCGGCGGGAAGAGGTTCGCGCGCGGGATGGGGGGGGGGGAGGGGGTCTAATGAACAGCTTCTGACGGCACGGTTGGGCTGACGTCTTCCAGGCGGATTCGTGGTTGAATCGCACGTGCGCCTCCCTGCGTGAGCCTGTTGATTGATGGTGTGCGCTTTCACATAAACGCACAACCCGGGCCCCGAATCGCACAGTGACAGGCGCACAGAATATATCTTTCTTTCTCGTCAGGTCTCCGTTCGTGTCTGTCCCCCGACCCTCCCTCGCCCCTCCGCGCACCCCCCGCCCCGCCCCCGCGCCCCCGCCCCCCGGCCACCCCTTGCCCCACCACTCGTGTGTCGCTCGTGGGCTCGCGTCTGTCACAGTCGGTCTGAGTTTTTCATAAGCCTATCAGACAAGTGAGCCGGCCCGAGCCCCCCCAGTCACCGCCCTACTGTCTCTCGAACTTCCCGCTCCCGCTAAATGCGCGCGTGACGGGGGCCGGTTCGGGCGCCACCTGATTAACCTCGCCAGCCGCCCGACCTGCTGGCTGCAAGCACATGAGTAGAGCCAGGGCCAGAATCAAGGCCAGGACGATGATGCCCTACGAGGGGGGGGAGCTCAGATGAGTGGCCGTGCTGCGGCCGGGCTCGGGCAGGCTCATGCGCCACGGCGACAGCGACGCAGCGCCAGCCGTATATCCCATTGATGTAGCCGCTCCCAGTGCTGCCGATGCCGGCAAAGAAGAAGATGATGAAATCGTTGGCTCCCTAATGAGACCGAGGTCGCTCCTTCTTTCAAAGTAGGGTTGGCACATTGGCTAGGCTGAGCCTGCACTCGCGCAGCATCTCGCTCCTCGTAGCACCTACACACGTGCTCTCCCCGCTCAACCCTGCTCGTGGTGAGCAGCACACCCGTCGAGGGCAGCTCACGAGGCGAGAAGCAATGTGCCCGCAGTGAAGCACAGATTCCAACCCAGCCCGCACAGCGTCATGCCAGCGATGAAATTTTCGAGCGCCCCTCCGGCCGCAAGCGTGCCCGCTGCGATAAGCAGAAGGAAGGCGCCGCAACAAGAGGTCCGCTGTGGGCCAAGCGTCGAGATGACGCGGCCCGTGACAAACCCTGGGCCGAACATGGCCAGAAAGTGGAGTTGCAACGTGAGGCTCGAGTACCTACTCTCACGCCAGAGACAGCTGTTGGCAGCTACAACCAACAACCGGCAGGATGGCTCGCTTGGCACGTGTCGCTCCAGCAACTGCCGATGGGATACGCGTCGGCCTCGCAGCCGTCGTGCATGACCACCACGAGAGGGCTCATGAGAGAGACCATGCTGGTGTGGGCGAGTGCTGCGATGGCGACAGCAGCGATGCATCGCGGATCCGCGCACATCAGCCGAGGCAGGCTCTGTGAGACTGGCGCAGATGTTTTGCCGGCAGACGCTGGGAACGTGACGCAGACCGAGAAGAGCGCGTTGAGGACCCCGATGGTGCTGATCCCGGCAAACGCGCCGAGGAATTCGTAGCGCCGCGAATCCCCAAACACTCGGCCAAGCTCTTTCGTTGCGAGGGCCAGGTTTGGCCCTGCGACCGCTGCAATGACGCCGCCGGAAAGGACAAGTGTCACCGCATATGGTCGCTGCGATGGCGAGCAAACCTCCAATGCCGCGAATCTATAGAAGTGAGACAGGCCCTGGGCTAGTCCAGCCAGGAAGGAGGAGATAAATATCAGCGAGGGAATATTGCAGATCAACCCAATTGCACCAGCAACACCAGAACAAACGCATAACCCGCAGCCGATCAAAAATCCATTGAGGCGGCCGCAATGGCGGAACAACGCGGCCGACGGGATCGATATGAGCGCTGCTCCTGCGAGAAAGGTGCTGATAGTCAGAGGGGCAGCGCCGATCGACGAGCCAGTTGCTGTGGCGGCGAGCGGCCCCACGGCGGTGAGCAGGGTGCCTACGGCGGCAGATGATGCAGCAGCTGAGGGATCCGCAGCAAAGAGGCCGGAGTAGAAGGACGAAACGTGGCACTCGAGCTCAAGGCGCAGGCCCAGCAGGCAGCGAGGAGAAGCAAGTTCGCCCTCGCCGACTGCATGTGTGCATACCTCTGCAAAATCCGCCGGTGATCATCGCGATACGAGTACTCGGGAGCCGCACTCATCGCGTAAAGTGTGCAAGTAAACGCAGAATCATGCGCCGGGCCGACCGACTCCTGCTCGCTGCTGCCCCGCAGAGCAAGGCTAGACATTGCAATACGGACGACGAGAGTCTACCTTTTCGGGCGGGACCGCTCGCTCGTCCTCGTCTATCTCGAGGCAGGGGATCGACGGTTCGTCGCCAAAACGGGGAGCGATCCCGAGGCCTACCTGCAAGGCAGCATGTGGGTCGGTGTCCTCGGCGACGAGACCGATTTCTCGGCGCTGCCGGAGGGCCCAGCCTCGCGCTCGCCATCGACTCGAGGCGAGGCGACATCCGCCGGCTTTCGGAGTACGAGCGGCTCTGGCGCCACATCGAGAACCTGACGGCCGCGCCCTCGCGCTCGATCTTCGCCGAGACGCACTCGCGCGTGCTGGGGCGGGCGATCCAGGACGCGGAGACACTCGGCGATGCGATTGACGCGGCAACAACGACGACGACCTTCAACGACTGCTGCGATGTTGGCGGGGGCTGCGGCTGTACATTTGCAATGGCGCTGCGCACCGTCGCGCGCGTCATCAAGGCGCGCAGCGCGACGGGCGTGCAGCGCGCGGCCTTCTGGATGGGGACGAGGGGTGTCGACGCGCACGCGTCGATGGACTCTCCGGGCGACGGCATAATGTCGATGATCGACAACTCGGTCGACGACTTCCGGAAGGAGATGGTGGCGCAGGGGCTGTGGGACAAGGTGACCGTCATCACCCTCTCCGAGTTCGGAAGGACGATCATCGGTAACGGGCGGGGGACAACGCACGCGTGGGGCGGGAACCATCTGATATACGGCGGTGCGGTCAACGGCGGCCGGATCCTAGGGCAGTACCCGTCGAGGCTCGGCCCCGAAGGCGAGCGCACGCGCAACGACCGCGGCACGATCATCCCGACCGAGCCGTGGGAGAGCATGTGGCAGCCGATCGCGGAGTGGATGGGGGTCGCGCCGTGCGACCTGCCAAAAGTGATGCCACACCTGCGCAACTTCCCGGTCGCGGGAGAGGGGCGAGTGCTGAGGGCGGAAGATGTGTATGAGGCGGGAGCAGTGTAGCGCAGCGTGGGGGAAGGGTAGCACGCAAACGACCGCGCGCCAGCAGCGATGGCCGGCTGGAAGCGTGCAGCGTAGCGACTGGCGACTGGCGCGAACGCTGCGTGGCGCTCGAGGGCTGGCTAACCTGGCGTCGAAGGGGTAACGCGAAGCGAACAACTCTTGGGGGGTTGTCCTCTTTTCGGCGCCCAGAGATAAAACTTCTGATGCCATGCGTGACCTAGTAGTGTCCCTCCAGCTAAGAGCTATGGGCGTGTCCACGTAAGAGCCAGGTGTGGTGTGGACGCGAGAATAGCTCCGCCGTTCAGAGAGGCAACCGATGCGAGTCGACTGGTGTGTGTCGTCTCGTGGTTTCGCATCAAGAATGGTACTCACTCACAGTGCCAGTACTTTGTCTTGTTGTGAGCTTGTTTGTGTCTGTGTCATGTGTGTCGCTCGAGCGTGTCGTCATCATCTGTCCCGCGTCCACCCATACCGCGCTGGAGTGTCCAGTCCCAGCCTGACTGTATTCTTCACCTTCCTTACATACATACATAGCCAGTACTAGTGAGAAGGGCGGAGGCGCAAGTGGGAAGGGGCTGCGACCGTCAGACTTTCCGCACACACACACACGGAGTACGCATCAGCGCAGGAGCCGATCGGTACGACCAGACCAGCGGAGAGCTGCAAAGACCCGAGGGGACAGCGTGGACGACGCCTCATGGCGGGCGGCCCAAGCCCTGATTGTGCTGAGGCCGCGGGCGCGCCGGGTCCTTTGAAGATGCGACGCGCTGCAGGGGACGGTGCGGCGCGTCGCGCAGCGTGCCGCTGCCCGCGCCGTCGGCGGCTGCCGCACCCAGGCCGCAACAGTCGAGCTTGAGCGCGCGCACGAGCCAAGCGAAGGGGCCCGGCGCTACCGGCAGCGCCGAGAGGCCCGCCGGCGGCCGCTGCCGCTGCCCTGCGGCGTCGTTGTGCGAGAGCAGGCGGCAGACACGCGCCTGGCGAGGGGAGGGGGGAGGGGGGGAGGGTGGAGGGGGGGAGGGTGGAGGGGGGAGGGGGGGAGGGGGGAGGGGGGCGACAAGGAGGGAGCTGTGGACTGGAGGCTGTGGCGGTCGCGCGCTCTCGGGGCGACCTCGGGGGAATCTCGGGCGATCTCGGGCGATCTCGGGCGATCTAGGGTGATCTCGCACGCTCGACCGGGCTCCATCTCGGCTCCGACTCGGCTGAATCTCGGCTATATCTCGCCCACTCCACGGGCGTGGGCGGATCCAACGAGTAGACGCCTTGAAGAGCAGCCAGGCGTGATCTGGCCGAGATCTAGCCGAGATACAGCCGAGACACAGCCGAGGTGTAGCCGAGGTGTGGCCGAGGTGTAGCCGAGATATAGCCCTTGGTGGATCAGTTAAGTGGTTGGCTTTGATCTAGCTGGAGAGGGGGGGGGGGGTCACCGAACCGCGCCTCTCGGAGAATCTCGGGCAATCTCGCGCAACCAAGGTCGAATCTCGGCCAGATCTCGCTCAATCTCGCGCCCGTGGAGGAGTTGAAGTAGTACGTCACGCCTTCCGGCGTCGCGGCGACCTGCCATGCCGCCGCCGTCCCCGCCTCTGCCGCTGCCTCCGCCCCCGCCTCTGCCGCCTTATCCGCCGCCTCCGCCGCCCTCGCCTCCTCCGCCGTCCCCGCCTCTGCCGCTGCCTCCGCCCCCGCCTCTGCCGCCTTATCCGCCGCCTCCGCCTCCTCCGCCTCCTCCGCCGCCTCCTCCGCCCCCGCCTCTGCCGCCTTATCCGCCACCTCCTCCTCCGCCGCCGCCTCCGCCTCCGCCGCCTCCTCCGCCGCCTCCTCCGCCGCCGCCTCTGGCGCTGCCGCCGCCTCCGTCGCCCTTTCCTCCGCCACACTAGCCGCCGCCTCCGCCACCATCGCCGGCAGCGCCGTCGCCGTCGCTGGCGCCAGCGTCTCCGTCACCGCCTCCTCCGCCTCTGCCGCCTCCGCAGTCTCCGCCGCCGCCACCTCCGCTACCTCCTCCGCCTCCTCCTCCGCCGCCTCCGCCGCCCTCGCCGCCGCCGCCGCCGCCTCCTCCTCCTCCGCCGCCCCCGCCGCCCTCGCCTCCTCCGCCTCCTCCTCCCCCGCCGCCCCCGCCGCCCTCGCCTCCGCCTCCTCCGCCACCCTCGCCTCCTCCGCCCCCTCCTCCCCCTCCTCCTCCTCCCCCTCCTCCTCAGCCGATTCTGCCTCGGCAGTCCCCCGGACAGCGCCGGCCGCAGCATCCGACGCTCGAGCTTCGGCTGCGCCAGGCTCGCTCCCGGCTGTCAATGCCTCCAACGCGGCCGTCGACTGCGCAAGCAACTTGATCACGTCAGCGTCGCCCGGACCCTCCACCAGCAGCGCTCGCAGCTCCGACTCCGCCCGCCGCGCCTGAAGCTCGACGCGTGATGCGGCACTCGCGTCCTGGCTCGCCGCCTCGATACACACCTTGATGAACTCTCCAGCAGCCGCCTCGTGCCTGGCCGGCAGCTCGGTCGTTTGTTGCCCGGCCGCGCCTCCGGAGGCCGCCTGCTCGTGTGCCGCCGCCGCTGCTGCCTCCTCCGCCACCCTCGCCGCCTCTGCAGCCGCCGCCTCCCCCGCCGCCTTCGCCGCCACTGCTGCAGCTCTCTCCTCCTCCGCCGCCGCCGCAGCCACCGCCGCCGCCGCAGCCACCGCCGCCGCAGCCACCGCCGCCGCCGCAGCGTCTGCCGCCGCCTTCTCTTCCGCCGCCTTTCTTTCCGCCGCCTTGGCCTTGAACGCAGCCACCAACTCCGCCTCCGCCGCCGCCTTCTCCGCTGCCGCCGCTCTCGCAAGCGCCGCCGCCGCCTCCTCCTGCGCCTTCGCCGTTTGCAACGCGTAGCGCGGCTCGGCCGGGCAGAGAGCGCTCGCCTATGGGTGTGAAGCATTATGAGAGCGATTGAAAAGGACGGTGCCAGCAGCAGGGATGGACGAAGCAGGATCGTGCGGCGCGGCGGCCGAGGTCCGTGCTCACCTCCTCGTAGAGCCGGAGTGCCTGCCTCGCTTTGCCCGCCGTTTTTGCGCTCGCGTCCGCTTCGGCTCTGAGCTCCTTGGCGGTCCTTGGCCGACTGAGGGTCGGTGGAGGCATCCTTGGGCAATCGATCGAGGTTCAGCACAGAAGGATGCGGCAACACATGGATGCGACCCTTCCGCCGCCGTTTTTTTCTTTTTCACGGTGGATTTTTCTTTTTGAGAGCGCCTTCGTTGTTAATAGTACAAACCCAATGGTCCTCTGCGAGCGGTCCTTCGTTGCAGTCGCACACACGCACACGCCACGCCGCACCGCGCGCCCGCCCACCGCCCCGCCCAGGCGGGAAAGAGGTGGGGAGATGGGACAGCGAAGGAGGAGCACGAGCACGTATGGGAGGGTTCAGTAATGCGCCACGCTGCCCGGCGTCTCTCACTTTCCGGGACAGCCCCGCCCTTGTGAGGCAGGAAAGTGACGGCTACCCCGTACGCGCCTGCCGCTCTACTCGTCGCCGACCGCCCATTCTCCCCTCCTCGTTCCCCCCTCGAATGCTCCGGACCCCGACAAGCCGCCCGACGTTGGGCCTCTGCCCCGCACGCTCCCGCCCCTCTGCCCCTCACACACACCCCGGCCCGACATGCACATACAAGACAAACCCGGCGTCCTGCTCTCAAAAGAAAAAGAAAAAAGGGAATGAGGAGACCAGCGGGGGAGACTCCCCGCCTATGCAAGCCCCAGAGAGGGGCCGCCATCGCCGAAGCTGTGCCAAAGCATAACTCCAAAACCCGCAGCGGCCCAGGGGGCCTTGGGGGCAGCCTGCCGGACCGCCGCTGCACGGGGCTATCAGCGGCCGCGGGCGAGCAGGGCATGTGCGCGCCACGCGCCGCCGCTCCAGCCGGATCGTACGAGCCTCCCTCCCGCGGCTCGTTGCAGGAGAGCGGGTCGATCCGATGATGCTCGGTGAAGATGCTCGGTCTGCTCTCGCCAAAAGCTTGTCCGACTCGACGTACGGCCCCGGGCGTCGGGCCGTGGCGGCGACAGCAGGCGTGCTCTGGCGCCGCCTCGTGCGCGCACACGCGCAGCGGCGGCGCCTCTGCACCACCCGAGTCGCCGCCCGGCCGAGCGAGGAGCAGAGAGACGACGAGTGACATGCTGATTCGGCAATCAGAGGTTTTTTTTTTCTCTTTTTTTCCCACTTCGTCTGGGGGTTCCCAAGCTGGCCGTTGATCCGAAGACCGACTGCACAGGGATACTCGCTTAGTGTGGGTAATAACGAAAAAAGTAGATTCGATTCGTCCACGTACGGCTTAGTGAGCGGCCACCCCAACCGTACAGCATGTTGAGCAGGTGGAAGACGAGCGTCATCGGGTTCATGTTTCGTGCGCCGGCGATGGCGTTCGCGGCGCTCACGGCTGCCCGCCCGTGCACCCATCTGGTAGATCAGGGTGCCCGCCATGGCGAGCTGCGCGGGTGGGGGCGGGTGCGTGAGTGCGGGGTGGGGAGAGAGAGAGAGAGAGAGGGAGAGGCAGAGGCAGAGGGAGAGGCGGAGGGAGAGGCAGAGGGAGAGGCAGAGGCGGAGGGAGCGGCGAGCGGCGGCGGCGGACTCTCCTGGAACAGGGAGCCAAGGCCCCACCGCGACGACGACGCGCGCGGCTCCGCGGCCACCGGGTCGAGCACGGGCGCGTACTTTCGCTTCTCGAGCGCATCGTTCCACCCTTTGTCGTACGCCGCGAACTCTGTGTCGCCGAAGCCGCCCTCGCCTGACCCCCGGGGAGGCGTCAGTGGGCGCGCACTGGGGCGCGCACTGGGAGGCTGAGCTGCGGGCATGTGCAAGCAGCGGCCGCAGCAAGCCAGCGAGGGGCGAGGGCAGCGTCTTGGGAGTGTCTCTCGCCTCCTCCTCTGCCGGCGCCGGCGCCGCTCGGGCGGAGCACAAAGCGCCAGAGCATGTAGCCGCCAGCGAGGAGGAGGGCGGCCGCCTGCGCCTCGCTCACGCGCTGCCCGGTCGTCGCCTCGGCCGCCGCAGCCGCACGCGACAGGCCTCGCCGCAGCCCATCCGCCACGCCTCTCGCGCCGCCGCCGCCGCGCGCGGACTGGTACACGAACGCGGCTGCGCCGCCGCCACAGAGGACGAGCGGGAGTGGGAGGCCGAGCACGCGCGGCGCAACGTAGAGGAGGAGGAGCATCGCCACGCCAGCCTGCGCTAGCGAGACGCCCGGAGGCAGCATCGCCTGCAGCCGTGCCATCGCCGCCTGCGCTGCCTGCGCGGCAGCGCCCGCCGGCATGCCACCGCCTCCAAAGCCAGGCATGCCGCCTCCAAAGCCGGGCATGCCACCACCACCGCCGCCGCCACCGCCGTCGGCCGACCCGTCCGCGGTGAGATTGCTCGGCCTCAGCGCCATGGTCGGACCCGCATCGAGCCGGACTGTGTAGCGGCCCTTGTCCTCGTCGAAGCCGACCGCGATGCCACGGCTGCCGTTGAGCTCGGGCTTGGAGGAGAGGCCGTCGACGATCACGCGGCGGCCTCAGGGGCCTCAGCTATCGAGAGAAATAAAAGCGCGCGAGACCCTTGCCAAGCCGATCGCGAGACCTCTCCCTTGGGTTCTCCGTTTCTTTCTCTCTTTCTTTCGCGAGACCTCGACAGAAGCCGCCCTGTTGGAGAGTGTGAACTCAAACCTACATCTACATCCTCCCATGATGACCGTAGCCTGGCTGTCCTTGTGTAACCCTCATCATCTTGTGACGTCAATCTTTCTAGCCTTCGAGCCCTTGTGGTCACGCACCAGGGTCGCAGCGCCGTTCTGACCATGGCAGACGATGTGGAGCCCCGCACACACACGCACGCACGCAGTGCATTCGCGCAAACACAGATTCCGTGAAACTACTCACAGAAACACATCGCGTTTTTGGTTTGGCCTATTGGAAGATGCGACCCTTCGCCGATCTCGGATAAATCGGAAAAAGGGGATGTTTGTGGGAAGCGAACTAATGAGAAGAACGGGAAACGGCTATAGTGAATCCGGGCTGAGGGCGTGCACACCCTCGCCCCTGACGTTCCCCTGTACCTACGCCAGTGGCGCCCTGGGCAGCCAGGCACATGTCTAATGCCTCCGCGAAGCCACGCGACCCCTCTCGCGCGTCGCATCTGGCGGATCGGACGATGCTCGCCCTGTTTGCTGCCGCGACGGTTGTCTTCGGCCCCGCGCAGCTCCTGGTCTTCGCGCGGCTTCGTGGCGGGCTTGCATTCCACAGCATGGGCGAGATTCTCCTTAGCAGGGCGGGACAGGTGGCTGTGCTCGCACTGGGCATGGCAGCAACAAATAAGCCAGAGTGGTACCTGCGTCGTCGGACAGAGCTCCTGACGGCCGGCTCCGCACCACTCTGGGCGTTGCAGCTGCAGTCGAACAAGGTTCTCCTCGCGCTCAGCGTCAACGATCCGTTTAGTCAAGCATGGGTGGCATTCTGCCTCAGCATGGCCCTCGTCATGCATCTCGCATTGCCGCTGAAGCACGGCAATCTTCTCCCCGAGATTATCCTCCGCGGCGCAACCGTCGTCGTCCAAACACTGTGCGCGCCCCTCCCACCTGACGAGGGTCGCCAATTTGGGGCAATCCTTGCGCTTTGCGTGACGTTGACCACCTTCATTGCCGTCCTGCTATCCTTCTCCGCTTTTACTGCCCGCCTGCCTTCCTCAGAGCAGACGCCAAACAGGCACGTGGAAATGTCTGGTAAATGTCTCGAGTCCCGCCTCGACTCTGTTGTCGAGCAGCAAGCGGAGCACGAGGCGAGGCTGGAGGCTCTCGAGCGATGCCAAGAACCCGCCGCCGCCCAGCCCACCCCCGCCCAGCCCGCCACCGCCCAGCCCGCCACCGCGCAGAGCGCCACACAGTTGTTGCAAGAGCAGCAAAGCGCGAGTCTGGACCAACGGTTGGAGCACCTAGTGGCGATGGCCGCCCGCCTCGACGCACGGGCGGCGGCCCTGGACCAACGCGAGGCGGAGATGGACGAGGAGGTGGATTCAGAGACAGACGACGTCGAGGCCACGGTGCCTATGTTCAGAGTCAGAGCCCCAGTCGTGCCCCAGGTGCGAAGCAGCAACCTCCCGCCAGTGCAGGGAGTGCCGGTGGCGGTGGTGGAGGAGGCAGCGGCGGAGGAAGTGGAGCAGGCGGGACAAGAGCAAGACGTGAACGAAGCGACGGGCGAGAGGCTCGGTGGGAGTGACTAGGCGCTACCGGGACAACTTTCTCCTTGCTGGCGGCCGTTCTAGGTCCAGCAAGGAGAAAGACGGGTCAGGGCCAATCTCCCTCCGGCGGAGGGAACGATAGAGCCCCATTGCGTCACGTACTCCTCCCGTCGCTCGGTTCGCTTGTGAGTTGTGTGTGCTGCGGCGGCGGCGCGCAGGGTCGGGTCGTCGGGCCCCCGTTAATGTGCTCAATCAAGTGATCATTCATAAATGTTCGTCAACATAAGACTGAGTGAGAGCTTGTGCTTGCCGCTGGAGGATGTTGACGCCCTCTAGGACGCCTTTGAGCACCTCGCGGTAGCCCATCCGCTTGCTCGCGAGCTGCTCGAGCGCCTCGGGGCTCCGTGTCCCGGGTAACTGCGGCAAAACGCCACCCTACCTACTCTCGGAGCTAATGGACACGTCACACAGCAGGCCTCCATGGTAGCCCATCCGCGAGACCTCGAGAGACTCGACATGTATATGTGGAGCCAAGTGAAGACCCTCTCGGAGACCCGTGTTTACTTTACGGCCCCTTCCCTGCGAACGCGCACCCCCCCCAGGGGGGCTAGGGCTCTCTTGCCCGCAACCCCGATAGGATCTCGACGATCATCCGAGGGGCCCGCTGGGTGCGCTTCTTAGCTCCCCGGCCCTGGATGTGAGGTTGATGGCTGCACTCCACAACGCACAAGTGCTCCAAGTGCACCACCACCTCAGTGCAGCCATGCCTCAGTCGCACTCGAGGTCTCGAGCACGGCAGCAGCGCTCCTGAGCTCCCAGCAGCAGCTTCGTATGACGATATCTAGGAGGCCCGCCCCTCTTACAGTACTCAGTAGTCATACTATACTCCGATATAGAGCACACTGATAGACTCTCTCAACCTCTGTTCGCGGGGCCTCACCGCGCTGTTTGAGTCTCTCTCCAGAGAACCGTACCTCGCGCGCTCGCTCGCAGGGGCGTGTGCGCGGCGCTGCCCGTCGTCTCGCTCGCGCGGCGCGGGCGGCGCCCCCCCGCCACCCTGCGCCCGGTCGCGGCGGCGGGAGAGTCAGAAGGGGGTAGAGCGGAGGGGGAGGCCGTCAGCCGTTGAAGGCGGCGGGCTCGATGACATCGTCAATCTTGAGGATCATGCGCACAACCTGCGTGGCGAGCATGAGCTGCTGCTGCTTGCCGATGAGCGTCTCGAACACCTTCTGCTCCTTCATGTCGTTGGTGCCCGCCTGGTTGCAGTCGATGCCCAGGTACGACCGCCCGCTCGACACCTGGTCAGCCTTGACGGACGCCACCGTCTCGATCGGCTGCAGCCCCGAGTTCTCGGCAAGCGCACACGGCGTCTGCTCGAGCGCATCCGCAAAGGCTCGCATCGCGTACTGCTCGATGGTGCCGACCTGGTTGTTGGGGAGATATGGGGGAGATATGGGGGAGATATGGGGGAGGTATGGGGAGATGGTGCCGACCTGGTCGTTGAGAACAGTAATGGGAATGGCAATACTGCAGTACAATAGTCGCAGTAGTAATAATAGTGGCAATAATGAGATGAGCAGGACAACTGCTGCTGCTGCTGCTACTCCTACCAATCAGAAGAATGGTGACAACTCGATGGTGCGGACCTGGTCCGCCGCCTCAGACACCTTGAGCGAGCACGCAATCTCCGACGCGCCTATTCACAGCAGGAGGTGTGAAGAGACGCTGTTCACACCTTGAGCGAGCACGCAATCTCCGACGCGCCTATTCACAGCAAGAGGTGTGAAGAGACGCTGTTCACACCTTGAGCGAGCACGCAATCTCCGACGCGCCGCCGCCGTACACGATCCGGTTGTCCCGGATCAGATTGCGCACCTGTCGGCGGCGGAGGGTGTGAAGAGGGGGGGGGGAGGGTGTGAGGAGAGGGTGTGATGAGAGGGTGTGAAGAGAGGGTGTGATGAGGGGGTGCGAAGAGGCCACGAGGGGCGTTGCGCATATCGCGTCGTGCAGCGAGAGGTGGGGAGAGGTGGGGAGAGGTGGGGAGAGATGGGGGAGAGATGGGGAGAGATGGGGGGGAGATGGGGGGAGATGGGGAGGGGTGGGGAGAGATGGGGAGAGATGGGGGAAGAGATGGGGGGAGAGATGGGGGGGGGAGATGGGGAGATCGCGCACCACGCAGATCGCGTCGTGCAGCGAGCGCTTCGCCTCGTCGAGGACCATCCGGTTGCCTCCGCGGCAAAAGACGGTGACGGCGCGCGAGTTTGGGCAGCCCTCGATCACGATCATCCGGTCCTTTGTCGTCCCGAACGCCTCCTCGTGCACGTGGCCCGCCGAGCCTGTTCACAGCAGGAGGTGTGAACAGACGCTGTTCACGCCTCCTCGTGCGCGTGGCCTCACATCTCCCCATCTCCCCCCCCCATCCCCCCCCCCCCCCTCTCCCCCCCTCCGTCCCAAACCGAGCTTGTCCGCCGTCACATCTCCCCATCTCTCCCCCATCTCTCTCCCCCCCATCTCCCCCCCTCTCTCCCAAACCGAGCTTGTCCGCCGTCAGCTCCGCGAAGCGAGGGACGATGCGCGCATCCGTCGCGATGGCGATCAGCTCGAGCTCCACGCCGCCAACCTGCGGACGTGTCGTGGACGTGTCGTGGACGTGTCGTGGACAGATCCTGCGAACAAAGCTGACGCCGCCCCGGGTAGTACCGGTTTCGTACTTTTAGCTCTCTCTTTCTCTCTCTCTCAGTGTCTGTAGCTCTTACGTGCATACCCATCGGATGGCGGGCAGCTCGTTCTGCATCAACAAGTGGTTCGCCTCGTCGTCAAAGCCCCACTGGCAGATGACCAGGTTGGCGCCGGCGTCCTTCACCTGCCGGAGAGGGGGGGGGGGGGGGGGATACGTCTTCGGCTCCCCCGCGGGAAGCCCCGCGCGCAGACGACAACAGCGTCTCTCCCACACACGCACAGACGCCGCACGCATGCACGCAAGGCTCGGGCACGGCAGTGTGGTGGTGTGAGCACACGAGGGCTAGCAGAGAGTGAGTAGCAGAGAGTGCACGCGCCTGCCGGATCATCTGCGTGAAGTAGTCCTTCTCCTTGGCCTGCATCTCCTCGAAGGCGGCGACCGACTCGAGCTCGAGCTTGTGCTTCGTCTTTGGCTTCGGGGGCTCGAACCTGCGTGAAGTACGCCGACATGCGTGAATTACGCCGACAGGAGGGGCGGGAGGACGGTACTGTGCAGCGTCTTCAGAGCACCGCGTGAGTACGAGGGGCTGCGAAGACAGTGCATACAGCGGAATTCAATACGGGTGAATACGGCTGAGTACGTGTCCTCTCGAGCGCTGGTTGGGGTCCATGCCTCCGTGTTCTTCTTCTAGGGGCTTGAACGGGCAGGTGAGCACGCAGAGCTTGACGTCCTTGAGGTCCTTCGGCATCTGGGGGTGCGCCATGTCCTTGTCAATGACGATGCCGCGCACGAGGGTCGTGTCCTCGAGCGAGCCCCCCACCTTGCCGTCCATCTTGATCAGGTCCAGGTTCACGTCCTTGCGCTCGAAGTCGGCGACGGCCATCACCGCGTCGACGGCGATCTGCCCCATCTTCCGGTGCGCGCGGTTGACGATCTTGGAGCCTACGGCGCACGCCGTGCGGGCGTGTCGTGGGCGTGTCGTGGACGAGCGCAGCGCGGAGAGGGCGGAGTCGGCGCACCTACGGGGCGCGTCGTGGGCGTGTCGTGGGCGTGTCTTTCGTGGACGAGCGCAGCGCGGGCGGCAGTCTTGGAGCGCCGAGCGTGGTCATGGCGACCTCGACGAGCGCCTCGGTGTTGTCGAGCGAGTACGAGAAGGTGTCCGAGATGGAGGCGAGGTGCTCCACCGCAATCGCGCATGCGCGGTCGAAGCCCTCCGCCACTCTCATCGGGTGGATCCCGCGGTCCAGCAGCGCCTCGGCCTTCTCCAGCAGCGCGCCCGCCAGCACGACCACGCCGGTGGTACCGTCGCCGATCTCATCGTCCTGCGACTTGGAGAGCTCGACGAGGAGCTTGCCGATCTGGTGCTCGACCTTCATCTGCTCGAGAATCGTCGCGCCTACGCGCACCGCTCCCGACGAGGTCATCTCAAGCCCCGCCCCGCCCCGCACGCCTCCCGCCTCACGGCGCCGCGCCATCGTTGGTGATCGTCACGTCGCCGTCCGGCGACTGCAGCATCTTGTCCATGCCCTTGGGACCGAGCGACGTCTTGAGGATGTTGCAAACGGCCTGCGCGGGCGGCGGGGGGTGGGGAGAGGGCGGCGAATCGGCGTGTGGCGCAACAAGAGGCGGCGAGAGGTGACGGCGCCGCGGCGGGCGTGGAGAGTGCGGCGGGCCTTGGCGGCGAGGATGTTGGCCTTCTGCGCCTCGAGGCCCTTCAGCCGCCCCTTGGCCTCGCCCTCCTTGATGATGATGAAGGGGCGCCCATACTCGTCGAACGCGAGACTCATGCCTGCTAAGCGAGCGGCCGCGGCGGCGTCGTGGTGGCGCACGCGGCTGAATCTCGGCAGAGGGCGCGCGGCGTGAGCAGCGACGGTGGACGGGCGCGTCGCGGGCGGGGGGCGGAGCGGCGGCGGCGGAGCGGCGCACTCGATCCTCCAACGCCGCCTTGCGCTCCGCCCAACGCCTCGCGCCAACAGGGTTGGGGCCTCTTGCCGGTGTGGTATGGTACGTCTTGCGTCCACCCGTATACCGCGTTGGTGTCCAGTCCGAGCCTGGCTGTTCTTCACCTTTCTACCTACCTACCTACCACCCGTACCGCGTTGGTGTCCCAGTCGTTGGTCGGACTGTGTTTCGCCTTCCCATCCATCAATCCCAGCTCAAGACCATATCCCCCCGCCTCTGGCAGACCTGCTTGGCCTTGGGGTAGTATGGTAGGGCTAGTCTTGGGCGGTCAGGACCCACGCCTTTGGGCCGCCGATGGTACCATACCATACCCCGGGAAAGTAAGGCTCATGTGAAAAAATCCTCGCACGTAACTCCTCGCGGGTGGAGCTGTGCCCTTGCCCCTTGCTCGCGCTCTCGCCTCAGCCGGGAGAGACGTGGTGGGCAAGGCCGCGCGGCTGCATGATGGCGACCAGTGCAGCGAGCGGAGACGACGCGGCTCAGCTGGTGCGGCTGCGTCGTGGTACGTGGATGCCACGGACGGCTGCGCACAGTTGCCGCAACATTGGGCGATACTCATTGTTGCGTGATACGCACGCAGCCTTCCTCCTCCCTGCGCCCCCGCCTCACGCTCCACCGCTCGAGAAGCCGATTGCGACGGGCGGCTTCACCCGCGCGATTGCGAGCAGCACCTATGCCACGCACACCAGTGTCTGGTGAGACCCGGGCTTGTCGTCAGCGCGGAGGAGGGAGTGGAGCGGATGACACCTGAGGCAGCGACCAGAGCCCCTCTCCGGCGATGAGGCCGCTGCCGACGACGGGGTAGAAGGCAGCATACCTAAGGGCAAGCGTTGCGAGTGGCGTCTCCTCACGGTTGTTGGTGATGGCGAGCTCCGCGCACGCACCCGGCTGGGTCGGAGGTCCTCCAGTGGTGGGCGATCAGCCCGCCGACGGTGGAGTCCACGGCAAGCGACGTCCCAAGGTACATTCCCACCTGCGCACATGTCTTGGGTGAGAAGAGATGGGTAGCCGATTGAATGGGTCCCGAGAAGGCACGCCCACCCCCATCGCCAGCGGGGAGGGGAGGAGCGGCTTGATCGCGCTGCACCGAGGCGACTCTGCGGCGGCAGCGACGGCAAAGGAAAAGGCGGCAAAGGCGGCGCAGAGGCTGCAACAGTGCGCGGGGAGTGCGTCGAGGCCACTGGTGGCGACGATGGCCATTGCGCGGTAAACGCGGCCAAAGGGCGCCTGCACGCAACGCCGGGCGGGAGCGGAGTGGGAACGCGACCGCACATTGAAGCGCGTCGGGTGCAGCGGACAAGCGCGGCTCGCGCCTTGTAGACTGGGCCCGGAATCTCGAATGCGCGTATGTACAGCGCAAAGAGCGACGGCGCCATGATGGAGCTGAACAGCGCGCCGACGAGCTGCGCGACAAGCATTGCCCGGGGCCGCGCCCGGACAAGATATCCCGCCTTGAAATCCTGCATCAGGTCCGTCGCCTGAGAGCAGACCGAGATGACAAGGCCGCACATGACGAGGGCGGGGGTGATGGAGCCGTTCCCCGCTGGGCCAAACGCAAACATCGCGAGCTTGCCGACGGCGCTCGCGAGGTTGTGGTCCGTGAGGCCGGTGCCGTAGATGATGCCGACCGAGAAGGGCGGCGCGCAAAGCAGCGCGATGAAGACCATGTACCAGGTCACGTCGAAGAGGCGCGGCAGCAGCACCATTGCCAGCGCGCCACACGCCGCGAGTCCGCCGAGCCACAGCCGCGCAGGCACCGCCTCGCTGCAAAAGATGCGGTCCTTCTCGGCGTCATGGCCGCTGCTATTCTTGGCCCGCCCGCAATCGCCGCCGCCGCCGCCCTTCCCGCCTTGGTCTGGCGCTTGCGCCGCCTTGCTTGGTAGCGACGCATTGCCCGCCGGGGCGCGGAGGTCGCAAATGATCTTGGCGGTAACCTTGACCAAGTTCATGACGGCGTCCACCAGAATGATGGAGAGGGCCGTGAAGACCTTGTACCCATACTGACCGTGTATGGAGCCGCCCGCATCGAGATGGCCGTTGTACCACTTGCCCTGCTTGAGGACGCAATCGACGCCACTGCCCGCGCCGGCCAGCGGACAGGTGTAGTCCGCACGATGGTTCTGCAGGTAGGGAGCCATGACGCCGCAGCTGACCACCGCGCCGAGGAGCATCGAGAGGGACACCTGGAGCGGCATGATGAGCCCGGTGCCGACGTACCCAGCGTGAAAGCCCGTCTCCCAGCCGTAGCGCTCAAAGGCTGCCATGCCAAACAGCGGCCACCGCTCGAGGGTGAAGGCCCACTTGAAGGCGGACCAGGTGAAGGAGAGGCCAAGGTACCTCCGCAGCCGCGTCCACTGCGCGAGCGCAGACGCGGCACCGTCGGGCGCGTTTAGGTTCTGGATGAGGTGGGCCGCGGCGGTTCCCGAGGGGAAGAGCAGCTGGTAGTCGACCACGAGCTTCTTACGCAACGGAATCGCGACGAAGAAACCGAAAAGGGCGAGGCTGACGCACCAACCGACGCAGCGGCCCCACGTCAGATCATACGCGTCGGCCGCGTTGTTGCCGGCCTGGTCGCCGACCGCTCCGGCAGCCATCGCCAAATATTCCTCGCGGCTCAGCGCCAGGAGCGTGGAGGAGAAACCTCCGGCCGCAATCATCGAGTAGCCAGCGACGGCGCAAGTCTGCGCGACGCAATTCTCCTGTTCAAATTCGGAATCGTGGAGAGACGCTGCTCACTCGTAGAGCAACGCACATGCGGGCCGCTGGCGCAGCTCTCCTGCGCCGTGAACGAGCGGGCGAGCGGCATGCAGCGCAGCGCCGCCTTCCGTCGCCAGAGCCGCTGGTCAGCGGGGACAGCCGAGGTGGACGATCGATGTGCGAGATGTGGCCCGTGCCTTCATCGCAAGGTAGCCGCCCAACGCGGCGGCGATGTTGAGCGACGGCACCGAGCCAACCTTGGCGCGGTCAGGCAGCCGAGTCAGGCAGGCACCGAGACGTCACCGAGATGTCACCGAGGTGCAGCCAAGGTGCAGCCAAGGTGCAGCCGAGCTGCAGCCGAGGTGAAGCCGAGGTGAAGCCGAGGTGAAGCCGAGGGGCAGCCGAGGTGCAGCCGAGATGCAGCCGAGATGCAGCCGAGATGCAGCCGAGATGCAGCCGAGATGTAGGTGACGAGCAACGACCTTGAGCGCGTAGTAGAGAGCTATGGGCTGCTGCTCGGGCTGCTGCTCGGGCTGCTGCTCGGGCTGCTGCGAGGGCTGCTGCGAGGGCTGCTGCGAGGGCTGCTGCGAGGGCCCCTGCTCGGGCTGCTGCTGCTGTGAGGGCTGCTGCTCGGGCTGCTGCTCGGGCTGCTGCTCGGGCTGCTGCTCGGGCTGCTGCTCGGGCTGCTGCTCGGGCTGCTGCTCGGGCTGCTGCGAGGGCCCCTGCTCGGGCTGCTGCTGCTGTGAGGGCTGCTGTGAGGGCTGCTGCTCGGGCTGCTGCTCGGGCTGCTGCTCGGGCTGCTGCTCGGGCTGCTGCTCGGGCTGCTAGGGCGTGAATCGTGTCGTGCGACCGCCTTTCGTTGTAAAATTCATTTTTTTCCGAGGGAGTTTTGTCGGAAAATTCTTTTGTCACACAACCCCCCCCGCCCCCACAATTTCTTTTCCTTGTTCTTTTCTTTTTTTAAAACCGCGTATTTCTTTTTTTGTCAGGCAGGCACTCGCAGGCTGCATGCACTCGTCGGCTGGCAGGCACTCGCAGGCTTCCCGACGATGACTGCGCTGCTTGAGCACATCAACCTCAACATCCTCGACGAGCCGACGGCACGCGAGTTTTACGTCTCCTGCCTCGGCGCCGTCGTGAATGAGCCGACGACGAACGAGCGGCAGCTTCACGTCAACATGGGAGCGACGCAGTTCCACCTGCTGCGCAAGTATGGTAAGGCGGAGGGTGTCACACCGGTGACCGCGGCGCAGCGCTGGGCGGGCGAGATCGAGCTGTGGACGTCGGAGCGGCTCGACGCGATTGCCGACCGGCTCACGCGGCACAAGCTGCGTGGCCATGTGCGAGATGGCGCGAGCGACGTCCTGCGAGTCCGCTGCCCGTACGGCAACGCCTTTGTGATTCGGCACGAGGCGCCCGGAAGCTGCGATGGCTGGGGGTGCCACCCCTCCGGCAGCGGTGCTCTGACGCGTCTGGTCCGCGCCGTGCACGATGTGCGCCCCGGCGCCGCCGCGCGGCTTGCGCACTTCTGGAAGGAGACGCTGGGCGGCGAGGCGTGCGAGCTTCAGCCTTCAGGCACGCCGCCTCTGTGGTGCGAGGGCGGCGTTGCCGGCGGGGCGGGGAGTGGCGAAGACACCGCCGGCTTGCAGCAGTGCGTGGTTCGTTTCGGCGCCGCGCCGCAGCAACTCGTGTTCGCCGAGAGGCGCTCAGCGCCGCCTCCAGACGAGTATGAGCGGAACGAGGCGGCAGCGTACCACATCTGTGTCTACCTCGAGACGGCGGAGCGCTTTGCCGCATGTTTCCGCGCTTGCGAGGCGGCAGGGCTGCTCTACGCCAACGAGAGTGCGCGAGACTGCCCCGAGATGAGCCGGAGACTGCGCGAGCGTAGGCGGCAGGGCTGCTCTACGCCAACCCGGCCTACGCGCGCAGCCCGCCCGAGTTTGGCAACGCGATGGCGTGGGAGGAGGTGCAGGCGTGCGGCCAGTTCCGCATCAAGGAGCTCGGAGGCTCTACCGGCGAGCCAGCGGCGCCCAGAGCTCTACCCAGAGCAGGCGGGTCGCCGCTGTGGCTGTGGGCGGCGTCCATTCACAGCCTTGACTGTGAACAGGCGCTCGTCCTCGAGGTGGAGGTTCGCTCGCCCCACCACGTGTCGTGCCCGATCGGCAAGCGGCCGCGGTAGCTCTGGGAGTGGACGGGTGACGGCTCTCTCGGTCTCGCCCGTACACTCATGCTGCACCAGGCTGTAGGGTGTACGTGCAGCGTGTACCGTGTACACTTCTTGACACACTGGGGCCGCCAGCTCTACCGTGTGCCCCTCGGTCCTCCTCGCGGTACGCGGTCTCTCTGAGCCCTGGTCTGACAGCCTGACAGCAAACCCCGGACAGCGCCTGACAGTGCCCGACAGCCTGACAGCGTTGACAGCACTTTCTCTGACAGCCTGACAGCACGTATCTGACAGCCTGACAGCAGAGCCTGACATCAGAGGCGTCCCGTCGCTGTCAGGCCCTAACCTGACAGCCTGACAGCTGCCCGACAGCCCGACAGCACACAGCGGCCTGACAGCAGCGCTGACAGCCCGACAGCCCGACCAGCCCGACAGCAGCACAGACCGTACACAGTCCGTGCAGCCTCTTTCTTGTGCCCCATGAGGGTATAACAAAACTATTACATGCAAAGACATGTGTGTGTGGTTCATGTAGTCATGGGTTGGTCATGGGTCTCTCTCTCAACCCTCCCGCCCCACCTCTGCGGACCCGCGGCTGTGCTACTACAAATGAAGCAAGGTACCTTACCTTACCTTACAAATGAAGCTACCAGCTAGCCTTCTGGGGCCCTACAGCCATATGCCTACAGCGTCTGGGTGGGGGTGGCCGCCGCCGTCTGTGCCGCCGCCGCCTGCGCCTGCGCCGCCATCTGCGCTCCCCAGGCGGCCGCCGCTGCCGGCGTGATCACGCCGTAGGAGGGGGGCAGCTGCGTAGCCGCCGGCGTAGACGCGCGCCGCGCCACTGGCAGCTCGAGCGCAGAGTACCTGCGCCAGCTCTCGATGAGTCAGCGCAGCAACGGGGTCTTCATCAACGACCCCAAGGGCCTCTTTATCCTCCGGTGGTACCGTGAGGTGAAGGGTGACGGGACCCCCCCAGACGGCCCGCGCTACCAGAACAGAGCGTGCAAGTACTACTGACGAGCGACAACGATGGGGAGGCCTTCCGCTGGACCAGCAACTACCAGATCATCAGCAAGGTGTACCTGAAGAAGCACTCCACCCTGCCTCTCTGCTATTCTCTCAGTGCGGCAGACAAGAAGATGGTGACGTCCACCATGAAGAAGATGGTGGGACCGGAGGCAGAGTAGAGACTAGAGTATGTGCAGCAGAGTCCTGCTGGTCTCCTCTTGATAGTGTCATAAGTGTGGCTGGTGTGTGTCAGAGCCTGACAGCACCCGACAGCACCACCTGACAGCACCTGACAGCAACAGCCCAACGTCTGACAGCAGCAGCAGCCTGACAGCTCTGACAGCTCCGACAGCGTCTGACAGCAACACCCGACAGCTCCGACAGCACCTGACAGCTACAGATCCCCTCTGATGTCAGACACGCACCCGACAGCACCTGACAGCACTGACAGCACCCGACAGCTGGTCTGACAGAGGCACCTGACAGCGCCTGACAGCTGCCCGACAGCCTGACAGATCACCTGACAGCACCTGACAGCCTGACAGCCAGGGCTCAGCGGTCTCTCTTCGACGCTATTCGCATATATATTTCTTTTTGTATGTATGTACAAAGTCACGAATGAGTCAAAGAGAGAGAGGAGAGCATTTGGGTTTGGGGAGGGCGCGAGTGGGAGACTTTTCGGCGGGCGAAATGCGGCGGTTCGGATGCGTCCGCTCTTGTGGGACGACCTGTTGGGACGACCTGTGGAACGCCCTGTGGCAGCGATCGATGCCGGCGCCGGACGGAGGCGGACGCGGCGGCGAGGCACACGGGCGCCGGCGTGGCGCGTCGGCAGGCCCACCACGAGCGGATGCGCGACGAGCGCGCTCGCGGGAAGCACGGCTTTGCCCACATCGAGTGGCTGAGGAAGCTCTTCCCGCTCAGTCTTCGCTGGGTGGAACCCCCCCCCGAACATACGGCTTACGCTTAGGGAAAAAGGTAAGGTAAGGGGAAACATTTAAACTGCAAGCAGCGGACTCCCTGTCACGACTGACAGAAAAAAAAACTGTTCAGTTTTCAAAGGCAAAAACGCCAGCCTACGCCCTCCCCTCACACTGACACTTCTCCCCTATTCCCGACTTTAGGTTGCGCACATCTCCCAGCGAGCTAGGTTCTCCGCTTTTTCTCCCCTAGTCATCTGCCCGCGCCGCGCGCCTCTGTGGGCGTCTAGTGCAGCCACTGACAGAACTGTTCCAAAGGAGTGGTCAACGTCTCGCCTGAAGTCGGGTGGGCTCGCGCACTGCTTAGCCCTAGGGGAGGGGTGTGTGTGAGGTGTCGGAATGGTAAGGTTTCAGGCCGCCAAGGTGTGGGGGATTTGGGGGATGAGTCAGGAGCCAGCAGCCTTCCTGCTGGACCTGAGTTCACAGCTCCTCCGCCCGACGGGGTGGTCCCTTGGATTCGGGCCCCGCTCCCTTTTCCTGCGCCTGGTCTGTCCCTGTCAAGTGTGTGTTGCGAGATGCAGAGCTGGTTAGGCTGGAGCGCGGGCGGTGCGGTGGCAGGCGAGGGCAGCGCGGTAGGCGAGAGGCGGCCGCGGGGCTTCGAGTGGCGCGATAGGAGGGTAGGCTGGCTGTGGAGGGGCGCCGCGTGGCCTCGGCAAATGAGTAGTGCTTTATGAGCGGCCAGTTTTGTGCGTATTGCATATCGAGCCTGCGGTGTGGCCTAGTTGGTGCAGCGTTCGGGTCGGGGACGTTTTGGTCGTTGGTTCGAGCCCAGCTGGTGCAGTTCGTAGTCGCGTAGCGCGCGGGTGCGCGGCAGCCTCGGCAACCGAGGCGACAGTGGCGAGCAGGGGCGAGCAGGGGCGAGCAGGGGTCAGAGAGCGAGTGACGGATAAAGGCGTGTGAAAGAGCTGTGAAAGCGAAAGTATCGAAATTAATTGCCCGCCGCAGGCGAAGAAAATTTTCAGGGTTTTTTGGTCCCCTACGCCGAAGAAATCGAAGATTTCGGCGGGCGCCCGACGCGGTATGGATGGAGCACGCGCGCTGCCCGGCATGCCTGCAGCATCCAAACGAGACGCACGGCGTCGCTCAGCCGTGTCCACGCGGCTTCGCTCCTGTCCTAACCGGCGCCATCTGGGCGGCTGCTGCGGAGCTGCTGCCGGCGGTGCGGCAACTGGCCGACAGATACAACGCTCAGTCAGGGCACCCGCCGGCGATTCACTGGAAAGGAACGAAGGCGCCGCTGTCGGCGATTCACCGCCGTTCGTTCCCGTCTCTCAAGCTGGCTACACCGTCCATGGACGAGGGAGACGTCGCCTCCTCTTTCGTCCCGGGCACTGTTCGCGCCGGAAGGCACTGTACACTGCGAAGTACATTAACCTTCATCCCTCCTACCGCCGGCCGGGAGTGCAGCCTTCGCCATCGCTGAGTGAGATTATCCTCGACTTTGGCACCTGCGAAGTAATGAACAACATGCAGTACGTCATATGCAATGGCGCTATGACAGCCCTGCGATGGGCGTCCTCGACGCAGACGAGGCGGAGCTCATCTGCACGGCGCAGATCGCCGACTTTCTCTCTCTCCCTGCGCGAGTGGTTGCGCCACCGTGGATGAGGCATATGGGCTGGGCAGGGGAGTTGGTAGAGGAGGTCGACTGAGGGCGCGAGGCCGCCAATCGTCACAGTCTGCTGCTGACTGTCGGTCGCTGACTGGTTGCGCATTGCGCTGGCCGCGCAGCGGCCTTTAGAAAATTTTGGCCGCAGGCCTAGGTTTTGAAAGATCAAGAGAATAAGCGCCGGTGAGGCTTTGAGAAGCTGCCGTTTGCGGCTTCCTAAGTCAACTTTTCGAGAGGAACGTTTTGGCTAAGCTAGAACTTCTCCAAAATCGCGCGATCATCGAGTTTTGAGTCAATAATTATGAAAGGAAAGGGAGAGGGAGAGTTCTAGCTTAGCCAATCGATTCAGCGTGCTCTGAAACGCCCAAAACCGTCGAGTTTTTCGCCGTGGTCCAAATAGAGAGCTTAATATTTTGAGTTTCTTGGCCACGGCCACGATTACCCGTCACTCGCTCCAGAGCAGTGCGGCGCGCCGAATTTTTTTCGATGGGCTCGGTCAGTGGGCGTGTCAGGAGGCGGCCGGCCGGGAGAAACTCGGCAGTAAAACTCCCGCGCCGGCCCAGGAGGTGGGAGTGTCACGGAGGCGGCCATTGGCGCGCGCTCCTTGTCTTCGTGGGTCCGAGTTTTTTTTCTGTCACGACTGACAGAGCCCAACATTTATTTCCAGGCTGCCCAGAGCGCGCGCTGCGCTCGCGTCGCTGCTTCACACGCCTCTAATAAAATCGCCAACCAGCTGCGGCCCTGCGCGCCTTTTGGGCTCGTCTACTTCGGCGGCGACGACTATGGTCGTTCTGCGATGGCACCTCCGGCGAGTAGGAAGAACTCCCGGGTGGGAGTCGCCCGGTGCAGCTAAGTTCCCTGCTGCTGCTCCTCGCCGCACTCTGGCGCGCTTGCGGTGGCGTGTATTCGGCCGACGGCGACGCCGAGGTCGCGCCCTCCTGCAGAACCCTCGCGCAGCACACACGCGGCGCCTGTTCACAGCCAGCCGGTGAGCAGCCGCTCTCCCACCGGCGCGCCCCTCGTTCACTGTGAGCAGCGGCGCCCACGAGCAAGTACTCCGCCGCGTGGACGAAGCGGAGCCGCAGCAGCTGTGTGCCGCCGTACCGGAGCAGCCCTACACCCCGCAAAGCCAGCGGTCAGAAAAGAAGGACGCCGCGCGGCGCGGCACCGGAGGAGCAGCCCGCCGCCGCTGTCGCCGTCGCCCCTCGCCTCCGCCCCCCTGCCCTCACCGCCCCTCCCCTCGCCCCCCCTGCCTCCGCCCCCGCTGCCGCCGCTGCCTCTGCTCTCGCTGCCTCCGCTGCCTCCGCCCCCGCTGCCGCCGCTGCCTCTGCTCTCGCTGCCTCCGCTGCCTCTGCTCTCGCTGCCTCCGCTGCCACTTCGGGCGGAAGAGTGCGGCGGCGACGCGTCGCCGCTCCTGACGGCGGGCAGCACGCGCGCGACCTGCTTGACGCCCAGACAGTACAGCACGAGCTCCGCGCCAGCCACGACCTTGGCCGGCAGCTGGATCTTAGTATTAATTAGTTAACTACCATGAATCAGTATTAATTAAGCCACGACCTTGGCCGGCAGCTGGATCTTATTAACTAATTAATTACCATGAATCAGTATTAATTAAGCCACGACCTTGGCCGGCAGCTGGATCTTATTAACTAATTAATTACCATGAATCAGTATGAAGTAAGCCACGACCTCGGCCGGCAGCTGGATCGCCGTCACGCGCGCGGTGAACTCCCACACGGCGGACGGCGCCTGCGGGCGTGTCTCGGACATGTCACCGACGTGTGGCGGAGACGTCCCCGAACTCGCACACGGCGCTCGGCGCCGGCCGCGTGCGCTCGTCGACGAGGACCATGCCGCGCCGCAGCTTGAAGCCGCCGCCGTCCGCAACCTGCGAGACGGGAGGCGCACTCACGCGGCGGAGGAGGGCGCGGCACAAACCGCGCACACACGCCAAGCTGCACGCTCAGGGGGGGGGGGGGGGGGGAGGGGCAGCGCGGGGGGGCGTGCCGCAACGTGCAAGCTTACCGTGGCGGACTCCCCTACCCCACGGTAGCCCGAACCATCCCCTACCCCCCCGGGACCCGAACCCTAGGGCGCCGACCTGCAAGCTGACCGTGGCGGACTGGCCTACCCCCACGGCACCCGCACCCGTCCCCTACCCCCCACGGTACCCGCTAGGGCGACCTGCAAGCTGACGGTGGCGGACTGGCCGGCGACCGCACGGCCGACACCGAGCTCCTTGTACTTGATCGACCGCAGCGTCGCCGGCGCCCAACGCCCGCGCGCGTCGGGGCCGACGAGCAACCGGCCGGGGGCGGGCGAGGGGACGGCGGCGCGCGCGCAGAGTGCGCCGCGCAGCAGCGTGCCTGGGCCGAGATACGGGGAGATACAGGGAGGTGTGGGGAGATATGGGGAGATAGAGCGCCCCCCCCGCGCGCGAGCGGCACTTGAGCGAGCTCCACAGATGTGCGCGACAGATCGCCGAGAGACAGCCGAGGTGTGGCCGAGATGCAGCCGAGATGGGTAGCAGTCTGCCTGAGACGACGGGCCCATCGCACGGCTCCGGCTCCTACGGTGCGAACACGCCAGCCTGGCGGTCTTGTGCAGTGTACGCCGAGCTCCGCGTGGCGCACACGGGGTGCGGAAGCAGCGACCACGGGGTGCGGAGACAGCGACCATGCCACGGCTGAATACGGCGGAGCGCGGATGAGTGCGTGTCCTCTCGAGCGCTGGTTGGAGGACAAGAGTGCGTCTTCCGCTTCTAGGCTCCGCGCTGCCAGGTGTGGGGGAGATACGGGGGAGATACGGGGGGAGATATGGGGAGATCGTCCGCTTCTAGGCTCCGGCGCCTCCCCGCCGCACTCCCGCGCGTCGCAGACCCAAGGGTCGTCGTCCTAGTCACCGTCAACCGGCTACGAGTCAGCAGGGCTCTCCCCATCCCCTACCCCCACGGTACCCGCACCCATCCCCTACCCCCACGGTACCCGAACCCATCCCCTACCCCCACGGTACCCGAACCCATCCCCTACCCCCACGGTACCCGCACCCATCCCCTACCCCCACGGTACCCGCACCCATCCCCTACCCCCACGGTACCCGAACCTTGAGCACGGGGGCAGCGGAGCGCGGCATGTGGCACCCGTCGATGGAGAGCAGCAGCCGCCCTCCTATCATCAGCTCCACCCGACGGTCCGTCCACTGCGGGCGCACACCCCCGACGCAGAGAACAGAGGCGGCGGCGTGTCGTCGCCTTGCAGAAGTCCCCAGTCGCGGGGCGGGAGCCGCCCGAGAGTGCGGATGAGCAGGGGGAGGCCGGCTCCGGACCGCGCAGAGATGCCGAGCCTGCCACTCGTGGTAAATCAACAAGTAAGAATGATTACGTAATTCACTACTAGCCGGACCGCGCAGAGATGCCGAGCCTGCCACTCACTCGTGGTGAATTCTCAAGGCATCAACCACTAATGGTGGACTAAGAGGCCCCCCGGACCGCGCAGAGATGCCGAGCCGGAGCGCTGGACACACCGCCCTCTCGGCGCGGGAATGCGGTGTCGTGCGCAGTGCAATGAAGAGCACCGGCGTGGAGTACGAGGGGCTACGGACACAGCGAACCCAGCCGACTGCGGCGGAGTGCAGCGGAGTCCGCGTCCTCTCGAGCGCTGGTCCGAGTGACTTCCGAGTGCGCCTCCCGCTACTAGGGGTCCGAGATGTGGGGAGATACGGGGGGAGATATGGGGAGATCTTCCGCTTCTAGGGGCCCGAGCAGCGGCGTGACAGCCTCCGCCTGCGCCGACGTGGCGCCGTCGCCCGCCTCCTCTGTTCCGCCAGTCGACCCTCCCCCGCCTGCGCAAAGAATGCCGGTTGACCCTCGGGGCGGGGAGGCGGCATTGTGCAGAGTAGTCAGAGCAGGCATTGTGCAGAGTATCAGAGCAGGCATTGTGCAGAGTAGTCATAGCAGGAATTGTGCAGAGTATCATAGCAGGCATTGTGCAGAGTAGTCATAGCAGGAATTGTGCAGAGTATCAGAGCAGGCATTGTGCAGAGTAGTCAGAGCACAGGCATTGTGCAGAGTATCATAGCAGGCATTGTGCAGAGTAGTCAGAGCAGGCATTGTGCAGAGTATCAGAGCAGGCATTGTGCAGAGTATCAGAGCAGGCATTGTGCAGAGTACCATAGCAGGCATTGTGCAGAGTATCAGAGCAGGCATTGTGCAGAGTATCATAGCAGGCATTGTGCAGAGTATCAGAGCAGGCATTGTGCAGAGTATCAGAGCAGGCATTGTGCAGAGTATCATAGCAGGCATTGTGCAGAGTATCAGAGCAGGCATTGTGCAGAGTAGTCAGAGCACCCAGCGTGAGGACGAGGTGCTGCGAGCACACAGTGACTACAGCAGAGCTACAGCAGAGCTGCAGCGGAGCAACGGCCGAATGCGGCGCGGAGTCCGTGCCCTCTCGAGCGCCGGTTGGAGTGCAAGAGTGCGTGCTGCGTCAGCTTCTAGGGAGTCTAGGGCGTGCGAGATATGGAGAGATACGCGCTCCGCTTCTCTGGGGCGGCGAGATATGGGGAGATACGCGCTCCGCTTCTCTGGGGCGGCGAGATATGGGGAGATACGCGCTCCGCTTCTCTGGCGCGGCGAGATATGGGGAGATACGCGCTCCGCTTCTCTGGGGCGGCGAGATATGGGGAGATACGTGCTCCGCTTCTCTGGGGCGGCGAGATATGGGGAGATACGCGCTCCGCTTCTCTAGGGCGGCGAGATATGGGGAGATACGCGCTCCGCTTCTCTGGGGCGGCGAGATATGGGAAGATACGCGCTCCGCTTCTCTGGGGCGGCGAGATATGGGGAGATACGCGCTCCGCTTCTCTGGGGCGGCGAGATATGGGGAGATACGCGCTCCGCTTCTCTGGGGCGGCGAGATATGGGGAGATACGCGCTCCGCTTCTCTGGGGCGGCGAGATATGGGGAGATACGCGCTCCGCTTCTCTGGGGCGGCGAGATATGGGGAGATACGCGCTCCGCTTCTCTGGGGCGGCGAGATATGGGGAGATACGTGCTCCGCTTCTCTGGGGCGGCGAGATATGGGGAGATACGCGCTCCGCTTCTCTAGGGCGGCGAGATATGGCGAGATACGCGCTCCGCTTCTCTGGGGCGGCGAGATATGGGGAGATACGCGCTCCGCTTCTCTGGGGCGGCGAGATATGGGGAGATACGTGCTCCGCTTCTCTAGGGCCCGCCGCCGTCGCTGCTTCCACAACTGCGCATCGAAGCCGTCGACCCCGCCGTCGGCAGAGAGGAGGAGAGCAGGACGGCAGAGCCCCCCGCCTCGCCTCCCACCTCGCCGCTGCCGGTGACGCCGCCCGCGCCCCCGTCGCCAGCGCCGAAGCCGCCCCCACCGCCCCCACCGCCCCCACCGCCGCATCCGCCGCCGCCACCGCCGCCGCCGCCGCCGCCGCCTCCGCCGCCGCCGCCTCCGCCGCCTCCGCCGCCTCCGCCGCCTCCGCCGCCTCCGCCGCCTCCGCCGCCTCCGCCGCCTCCGCCGCCGCCGCCGCCTCCGCCGCCTCCGCCGCCTCCGCCGCCTCCGCCGCCTCCGCCGCCTCCGCCGCCGCCGCCGCCTCCGCCGCCGCCGGCGGCGGCGGCGTCCGGCTCGGCGCCGCCGCTGTCGTCCTCGCTGCCGCCGTCCGCGCCGCTGGGCGGGAGGGCGAGGCAGGGGCAGTGCGCAGAGAAGGGGGGCGGCTCGGCCAGCACCGCCGCCTAAGTAAATGAATTAACTAATTGATTGATGAATTAATTAATTAGGGGGGGCTCGGCCAGCATCGCCGCCTGGCGGAGGCACCGCTGGTTCATCAATGTGTGGCTCACCAATGTGTAGTCAGTGTGGGTGAACTGTGAACATAGTAGTAGGGAAAGAGTCGACGAAGCACCGCTCGTTCGACCGGCGCACGCCGCCCCTCTCTTGGCGAGGGGGGCTGGCGAGGGGTGTATCCGCATCTCCGCTGCCTCTCGGCTGCCTCCCCGCTGCCTCTCGGCTGCCTCTCGGCTGCCTCTCGGCTGCCTCTCGGCTGCCTCTCGGCTGCCTCTCGGCTGCCTCTCGGCTGCCTCTCGGCTGCCTCTCGGCTGCCTCTCGGCTGCCTCTCGGCTGCCTCTCGGCTGCCTCTCGGCTACATCTCGCCTCGAGCTCGGCCTCGCTCTCGAGGTAGAGCGGGGACGGCAGGCCGCACTCCGCCAGCAGCCGCAGCGTCGCCTCGGCGAGGTTGCCCAGCGAGGTGGCGTCCGCCACGTCCGCCTAATTCATCGTTAGTTCACTCTGAATGGACTCTGATTGAGCTGTGAATGAGGTGTCGTCCACCACGCCCGCCTTGCAGAGCAGCGCCACGACGGGCACGCCCAGCCTACGCGCTGAAGACACCAGCCTCAGGGCGGTTCTGCGCAGCGTATTCAGAGCACCGCGGGAAGACAACGGACAGTGACACAGGTGAGTGCAGCGGAATACGGATGAGCACGGCTGAAGACGTGTCCTCTCGGGCGCTAGTCGGGAGACAAGAACACGTCCTCTGCTTCTAGGACGCCCTGCCCCGCCGCAAGCAGCGCGTGGAGCCGCGTGGCCGCGGTGATGCCGACGTCCGCCCCGACGCAGAGCAGCGCCTAATTAATAGCTAATTAGTATTTAATTAATCGTTAATGAATGCCGGCGTCCGCCCCGACGCAGAGCAGCGCGTAGTCAGGCGCGTGCGCGGTCAGACCCGCGAGCGTCGTCTTGAGAAACCGGCCTGATTCATCGTTCAGTCATACCCAATCCGTAGTGAATTCACAGCGTCGTCTTGGGGTAGCGGCCTGTGGCGTGGGGGAGGCGCCGGCCGACACAGACGTGACTGTGGCCGGTGCCACAGAGTGGCCTCGCGTCGGCTTGTCGCGCCGCTCGTGTGCGGCGAGCGTGGGGAGTGTGTAGCCGCGCGTGTGTGTGCGCGTGGGCCCGTGCTCCGTGCCTCGGTGTGTGTAAGGCTGGACTGGACTGGCTGTGGGCAGCGACACTTGAGGCCGGCCTCGCATTCGCCTTCCTGGGACGCAGTGCTGCCTTCTGACTGCCGCCGCTGTCTCTCCCTTCTCGACCGCCCGTGCGTGTGCGATCTTGGGGCCCGGGGCTGTGTGGTTGCGTGAGTAGCTGCCTTCGCCGCAGAGGTCCAGCAGCGTAATCAATAGTTAATTAACAACTAATTAATAGTTAATGAATAGTTAATTAGTAGCTGCCTTCGCCGCAGAGATCGAGCAGCGTCATCACCCGCGACGAGGAGGCGCACAGCTCCGACGTCGTGCGCGCCAGCTCCTCCGTCCAGTTGAGCAGGCGCGAGGCGCCTATTCACGGCAAGAGGTGTGAAGAGACGCTGTTCACAGCTCCTCCGTCCAGTTGAGCAGCCGGCAGGCGCCGTCAAAGCCGAGCACCTGTTCACAGCAGGAGGTGTGAAGAGACGCTGTTCACAGCTGAGCAGCCGGCAGGCGCCGTCAAAGCCGAGCACTTGCTGTGAGATGGAGGACGTTGCGCCTGTCTCCAGCTCGTGCATGTGCCGCATCACGAGCGTCCGCGCGGAGCCCTTGCCGTCGTCGAGCGCGCCTGCCCCACCACCGGACCGGTGTGAGTCGCAGACTGCTGAGCGCAACGGAGGGTTCTGTGCTGCCAAAGAAGCGCGCCTGGGCCTCCCGCGAGGACGCCCACCACCGAAGACTTGCCCGCCTGGGCGCTGCCCAGCACCGCGATCCGCACCTCCACCTGCGCGCACTCCGCAAACTGCTCGATTCGCACCTCGGCTATCCGCCCCGTCGGCACGCCCTTGGTCCGCTGCGCGGCGACCACCATACGCGCCGAAACGTGGCCGCACATCCGGCGGAGAGTGCCAAGCGACGCGGACATGTCGCGAGGGCAGAGACCGTGGAGCGCGCCGTCGTCCTCCACGCCGAGGAGGTAAACCGCACGGCCCCGCCCCTCGGCAAGCCGGTAAGCCAGCTGCGTCACCAGCTGCTGGAAGCGCGCCGGCGTCGGCGAGACGAGCTTCAGCTTGTACTCGACGTTGCCGACCTCGACCTCCTGAGGGTAGGAGTCCGCATCGTGGGAGATGTCCGCGCTGCCGTGCGAGCCGTGCGGCGGCGTCCTGCGCGCCCCCATGCCGACTGCGAGACAACTGCCCGACCCGGGCCCGGACGGTAAGTAAATAAGTTCTCGAGGTTCTCGAGGTGGATATCCTTTGGCCGCGTTGGGTAGCGAGGATTGGTGTAACCCGAGCCACGGAGGCGTGTTTTCTGGCGGCCGACCGTCAGTGCACGGAGTTGCCACTTCTCCGACTGCCCCGGCTAGTTCCCGAGGTCGTCGGGTGTGACCCCTTCGTCCCCCGGGACCTAGCGCGGGTGGGTTGCGGTTGGAGGGGGCTCGCCCCGTTCCTCCCCATCGGGCCGCGTGAGCGGCCTCGCCTCGCAGATTCGTTTTCGCGCCTGGGTCAGGCGCGCGGGGCATCCCCCGGGTCGCTCGACCAGCGATCCGAAGAGTGGCCGCTATGCGAAGGAAAGAGCGGGGCCCACGGGGTACGCCTCCGTCCGGCCCCCTCCGAGGGGGGAAGGGAATTGCGGGGTCCCCACGGGCGCCTCAGTTCGGCCCTCCCGGGGGGGGGAGGGGAGCAAGGGGGTGGGGGGATCGGGGCGGGGGGGAGGGGTCTCGGATTTCATGGGTCTAAGACTTGCCTTTCGGGGAGGGGCCTCGGTTACGGCGAGCGCAGTGGCGCGCGCCCTACGTCTTCCCCTCCTCCCCAGAGGCAGCGAGTAGGCAGCGAGAGGGGGTATCGAGCGCCTATGTATGGTTGTGGTAATGTTGACGGGCGTCGCGGGGTTTTCCGCCCCACTACGCAGGGCAACCTCTCTCGAGGCGGCTAGACTCTATCTCAAGCTCTCGCCCACCCGTGTCGAGTCGTTACACGTCCCCACGTCTCGTGCTAGCCGAGCCACCCGGCCGAGCCCAAGGCTATCCATTCGAGACGGACCTGCCCCGAGACGGCTTCGGTGGACGGCCTTGCACCGCGGGGTTCGCTCGGTATGGCCCCGATCAGTAAATAAGTAACGATTTCCAAACTAAGGGCGGTCGCACGACACGATTCACGCGACAGGCGAGGCGCGGGCGACGGCTTCCTCAGAAGCCGTCGCCCGCACCACAGGAGCAATCACACCACCACTCCCACTCCGGCGCCCACCCGCTCCCCACCCCGACATCCCCACCCCACCCCACGCTCGCCCACGTCCCACGACGCCAGCCGCCCGTCGCCCGCCGCACCGCCGTCTCGCCCGCCGCCTCGCCCAGCCTCCGCGCCCGCCCGCCCGACCGCCGCCAGCGCCGGCATCTCGACGGCCTCCGCCTCGCCCGCCCTCCGATCCTGTGGTCTCGCTGAAGAAATCGACGCAGCAGCGACCGCGACCGAGTCGGACTCGGGCGACTGACATTCGCTGGTGACGTAAAAGCGGGCTCGTCCAGGACCAGAAGGCAGGGGCAGGCAGCCGCCCTCCGCCTTTGCCGCAGCAGCCGCCCCACCCGCTCCCCACACCTGTGGCCACTCAAAGAAAAAAGACGCAGCTCCAGGTAAAGAATTTTACAACGAAAGGCGGTCGCACGACACGATTCACGCGACAGGCGAGGCGCGGGCGAAGGCTTCCTCAGAAGCCGTCGCCCGCACCACAGGAGCAGTCACACCACCATTCCCACTCCGGCGCCCACCCGCTCCCCACCCCGACATCCCTCGACATCCCCGCCCCCGACCTGTCGGGCTCGTCGAAGATGTTCTTCAAGACGGCCAAGAAGCAGAACCAGTGCTGCACCTTCATGTAGCCCCAGAGGAGGAGGGCGGGGCGCGGCGGCGGCCCCTGCCCAGGGCCTGGACTAGCCGGGGCTGGCCGGGTGTCGGGACGACACGAGGAGGACGCCCTTACTTAGCAGTGGGTAGGGGCAAGGCGCAGAGGGTGCGGGCGCGAGAGAGGTACGTGGCGAGACACGAGAGACGAGTGTCTGGTGTGGGTGGAGGTCGCCACGCGTGTGCTTCATACTATGTGTAAAGAAAAGAAAAAACCGAAAAATCGCATGCCGGGGTCAAAATACACACATTCGTCGCTCTCCCGCCACCATCACCCGCCGCCGCGCCGCCCGGCTCGGAAGCAGACCGGCCCCGAGGGGGTGAGGCGACATCTTGCTGTCTGTGGCACCGACCATCACGCCTCACCTTCGAAAGGGTGGCTGCCTACCCCAAAGCCCAGCCCGGGGCATCGATTTCTCTTGACGATTTCACTTTAAAACGCTGGTGCAGAAGGGGCCTTCTCTATAGAAGTCGGAGCCTTGCGTCCAAGGAGAGGCAGCGTGCGGCTCCGTGGACTCGGCCATCTCCCGCGGGTGAGAGGGCGAGAGGAAGCATCCCCGCCCTCTGAGGCGGCCGTCCGAGTCGAGGAGGCAACCACACAACCATCCCCGCGGGTGTGGGCGGCCTTATCGGCCCGCTATGCTATCTAAGTCGGCCCTTCCTCGCGGTCGGCTGCGGAGGCCCCTTACTTAGCCCTAGCCGGAGCTAAGGGGCCCGGCTTTTTCTGCGCTAACCCTAGCTAGGGGAAATCGCTCCGGAATAGGGTTCCCGGCACCATCGGGCGGCGCCACACGGATGGAGGGAGTCGGGTGTGAGTGAGTGACACACACACACACACACACACACACACACACAGGGAGTCGGGTTTGCCATTGGGGGCCGTGAGGGCGCTTCCTGCCTTGCGCCGGCCAAACTTGCCGGTGCCCGGCGCCCACGAGAAGGCGCCGCCCAGCTCAATTCATATTACTGGGTGCAGTCACAGTCTTACCCTCCTGCCTGCGTTTGGATCGCGCGCACCTGGAGAACCTCGAGAACACCACGACGGCTCCACAACGACGTCCACAACGACCGCTCCATGCACACAGACTTGCACAACGCCCGCGACGCCCGCGCCTCGGACGGCCCGCAATTGGCGATGGGCATGATGGTCGCGCCCTTCAACCTTGCGAAGCGATGGCTCGTCCGCAGCACCATGCTATCGGGCGGCCCCGTCCAGCGAGGCGAGGTTGTCTTCCGGTTCGTCGTTGGCCTCGAGGCGCTGCCGCGCGGCGAGAGCGACCAGCTGCGTGGTGAGGCGGCCAACTACTCGGACGTGCTGCTGCTGGAGCAGGCGCGCTGAGCGGCAGAAATCCGAGGCGGCGCACACATTTGAGATTGCACCGAGGCTCAGGCCAGCGCGGCGCCACACCGCAGGCGCTGGACGGGAAGAGCGTGGCGATGCCGTGCTCCTGCATCGAGAAGGTGCACGGCTGGTACACGTATGCGCTGCGCCGCTGGCCAGCCGCTCGCTGGTACGCCACCGCTTCGCACCTCGCTGCGAGACATGCCACGACAGAGGACACTTCACACCTAGCTCTTCGCGCTTCGCTCTAGGTACGCGAAGACGGAGGACGACACGTATGTCAACCTGCGCCAGCTGCTCGCCGACTTGCACTCTCTGCGCAGGCTCCCGGCGGTCTACTACGGGCTGATGAACGCGTGCGCCATGCCGCCGCTCGCCGCCGCCAGGCACACGCCCAGCGGGTACGCCGGCTGCTGGATGGGCGAGTTCGAATCGGCGGCCCCCGAGAGCTTGCGCCTCTGCCCTGTGTCGGACTCGAGCGCCTAAAGGCTGACAGCTCATCGTGAATCATCAACCCGTTAGGCGTCACTGGCCGCGCGGGCAGCCGCGAAAGTGCCACGGCGGGGCCCCCGCACCCTTCGCCACCGGCCCGCTGGACGTGCAGGCCGCCGAGGTTGCGCGCGCGGTGTTTGAGACGTGCAGCTACACGCGCCGCTTCATGGAGGTTGGCACACACAAAGAGGCACCCCCCCCCCCCCCCCACCACCACCACCACACACACACACACACACGTAGCCTCGGCAGCTTCAGGGGGCAGTGCGCGTGCTGCAAATGCAAACCGAACCTTCAAAGAAGTCGCCTGGTGCATGTCACAGCCGTCGAGTTTGCTCAGGTTGGCCGCGCCGAGAACCGGCGGGCAGGCAACTGCGCCAAGCGACGGGGCACCAGCCGCGCCACCACCTTCGCCTCCACGTCTTGCGACTGCACCGTCGGGCACTGGATTGGGCAGTGCCGTCTCAACCTGACCGTCGCAGACATGACGTGGACGAAGGGCCACCACTACCTCCACCGTGCAGGAGGGCTGGGGTGGGTCGCTCCAAGCGCCGCGTCGATCGCAGTGCACTACCTGAAGCAGCACGACGGGCCGTCGGGGCCCAATGGGTCGCGGTACGGAGAGTGGCTGCACACGCACGCCGCGTCGTCCGCTTCGGCCCGCCCCGCCTTCCCGCCGCTCCTGTGGAGGTTCGAGCAGCCGCCGCTCGCGGCGCAGCAGGACCGTGGCGACGACCTCGACCTGTCCGCCGCAGACGCGGGGGAGCTCCGCGTCCCTCCTCCCCGCCTGACGGCGATGCAGCCCGAGGTGCAGCCGAGATGCAGCCGAGATGCAGCCGAGAGACAGCCGAGGTGCAGCCGAGAGGCAGCCGAGAGGCAGCCGAGAGGCAGCCGAGAGGCAGCCGAGAGGCAGCCGAGAGGCAGCCGAGAGGCAGCCGAGAGGCAGCCGAGAGGCAGCCGAGAGGCAGCCGAGAGGCAGCCGAGAGGCAGCCGAGAGGCAGCCGAGAGGCAGCCGAGAGGCAGCCGAGAGGCAGCCGAGAGGCAGCCGAGAGGCAGCCGAGAGGCAGCCGAGAGGCAGCCGAGAGGCAGCCGAGAGGCAGCCGAGAGGCAGCCGAGAGGCAGCCGAGAGGCAGCCGAGAGGCAGCCGAGAGGCAGCCGAGAGGCAGCCGAGAGGCAGCCGAGAGGCAGCCGAGAGGCAGCCGAGAGGCAGCCGAGGTGCAGCTTCCTGAGAAGCAGCGGTTGGCAGCAGAGATGCAACCGAGGTGCACCCCACGACACCGTGGCGGGGAGACGAGGCCCGTTCACAGCTGCGGGTGTGAAGAGGGGCTGTGTGTTTGCGTGAACAGGTGCATGCTTGGTACATAAGGACGTGCGGAGAGAGGAGCTCCGTGGCTCTGATGCGCGCCGCCGACCGAGCGCTGCAGCCCAGTGCCGGCCCGCGGGGCTCGCGCGGCGCCGTTGACTATTACGGCGGCAACCCGGCCGCTCATCGCCGGGTGCTGCGGGTGCCGCCCGGGCTGCTGTACTGAGTGCACCCCTCAACGGAGTAGGTCGCGTGGCCGGGCTACGGATGCCACCCGAGCCGCTTCTCCGCAGACCCAGCGGCCGCCTGGCAGGCTGCCCCCGCCCTAGAGGGAGCTGGTCGGAAATCTCTCGGTTGTATCTCGGCTATACCTCGGCCACACCTCGGCGTCTCTCGGCCGTCTCTCGGCCGTCTCTCGGCTGCACCTCCCGCCCCAGACGCTGCACCGCTCCACTTTCCCCAGCGAGGCGCCGTTGCGCGCCGTGCGCAGCCTCATCGCCGCGAGATCGTGCTCCAGGCTGTCGGCCGCGCAGCCGGCGCAAACGGCTCGTCGGCGGCGGTGCTGGGAGAGCGGTGGCACCCGCTCGCGGCGGTGCTGTGAGCGTGAAGCAGCATGTCCTCAACGCCCCGCAAGTGTGAGTAGGGGGCAGCGGCGCGCGGAGCCGAGCGCGCCATCGGCCGCGCGCAAGCAGGCGCCGCCGGCTCGAGCGCGGACGGCGGCGTTGCTCGCAATGCGCGCGCCGAGAGGAGGCGCGCGGCGGCTGCAGGGCACGCAGCTGCCAGGGGGTGCCATCGCAGCAGCACGTACGGCGGCGGCGGCGGTGGCTGTACAGAGCTCTGCCACCCAGAGGGCGGATTCCGTGGCGGCGAGGGAGGAGCGGGCGCTGCGCGCGCTGAGGCGGCCCGCGCACACGCGGCGAAGTGCATGGTGAAGTGGCACTTATTTCACACCGCCGGCTGTGGATAGGCGGCTGCGGGAGGAGGGGCCTCGCGTCGTCGGCTGGGAGGAGGTGGCGGCGTGGGAGAGGGCGTTTGGCTGACCGGCGTCGGTGCTCAGCCCCGGCTCCCCGGCATGGAGCGGCGAGGAGCGCTGCCATTTTTGCAAGAAGGCTGTGCCCTTCCGTCGCGCGCCGCGATGTTATCCTTGGTGTGGACGGTTTTTTTCGCGGTATCCGCGCCGGGATACGGCGGGATACCGGGAGATACCGGGAGATACCGGGAGATACCAGGAGATACGAGACACGGGCAGACGGGCATATACGGGCATATACGGGCATATACGGGGAGATACGGGGAGATGCGAGGAGATGCAAGGAGATACGGGGAGATACAGTCAGATATTGGAGAGATACATATCAAGATACCGCAAAAAAACCGTCCACACTAGGACTGATGTTGCTCCGACAGCGCGACACCGCTCTGATTTATTATATGAACTCGGGGGCACAGGACGCGGCACAAACACCGCTCTGATTCGACTTTTCACTTCAAACAAAGACAGTCGCACGACTAGTTGCAAAAAGTCTCACAAGGAAAAATCAAAAACTACCAAAAACGCTGTCACGGTCAGCTCGGCACGATCTACTCAAAAAAAAGTGACGTAGAGCACCCACTTTTTAAGCGTTCCGTGCACACACAAGGTCCGTCCGCGTGCACCGCCAGCTTCCCAGGGCCATCGCGCGAAAAACGACGGAGGAGATGCATCCTAGCTGTCGCCACCGAAGGCGACTCGACGCCGATGAGATCGGAGATCAGGCTCTGACAGGTCACACGTCGCTCCTTTGACGCCGACGTGACTCACCCGTGCAGATCACATCAGGACACGGTCTCGGCGCGCTCGGTACGACGCCTGCGACCCGTCTCGGGTCAGGTGGCACGACGCTCATCGCGCCTACCAGCGCTGCCGAGCGTACAGGTTGCCACGACGAGGTCGAGCACGCTTCTATACGCTCGCCGAGCCTTCCTTTCCATCCCATTAGGCAGCCTGGGAACGGTGGCGGTCAGAGGCAAAGCCTGCGAGGGGTGGTGGAACCACATGTCACGGCCACCGCCGGCTCGACGCACGATAGCCTCCGGAGGCTGACTTTGAGGCACCATCACCGGACGATGTCGACGAGTTGGGTCGCTCTCGCGGTAGCCAGGTGGCCCCCCATACTAGTAGCACCAGCCATGGCCTCAGGGAGCGCGGGGAGGGCGCTGGGAGCAACACGGACAAAAAACATCAAAAGTGGTCATTTCCACAGCACCCCCGTATTTGCAACTAGTCGCACGCCCCGCAGCGCGGCGCGTGCGACTGTCAGGAGCAGATCCGTCAGTTAGTCGTGTTCACGCCGCGATCGTGCCCTCACAAACCTGTGCACCTCATCCTCTCACAGACCAGCGCACAGCGCCATAGTACTCGAGTACTTTCTAGGTGCCATTCCCCGGCCGGTCTCCGCGTGAGGAGCACCTGCCATCGGCCCCCGGAGCCGTTCTGGTCGTGGCGGCGCACGAGAGCAAGCGAGACGGCCATCTGCGGAGGGCGCGATGCCGCACCGCCCCCCTGTTGCCCATCGACTTCCCTGCCCAATCCCCCGGCTCGTCTAGCGATCGCCCATCGCAGGTTTCGCGCCGCCCGCTCCCGCTGCCCCTCGGTCAACGTGTCCCGAGCGACTTGAACGGTCGCCGTCGTGACCGGCGACGGAAGGCGAGGCGAGGTCGGCCATATCATCGGCAAGGGCGGCAGCTAGGAGGGAGGGCGGTCCGAGCTCCCGTCGGATCCCGCCGCCGCCGCCGCCGCCGCCGCCGCCGCCGCTCTTTTGGCCTGCGCCAACACCGGCATCCAGCAGCTGCGTATCGGAGTACGGGGCAGCGGGCAGCTCAGCGGCACATAAGGCACCCGCCGCAGGCTGTGTGCACTCCAGCAGCTCAGTGGAGCCGGAGCACCCCAGACCGCCGACCGGCTGCCCGTTCGACTCCGCATGGTCCCTCGCGCGGCTGGCGGCGCCAGCAGCGCAGCCGCCAGCCGCGGCTCTCGGCTATCTCGCCATCGGCGTCCTCCCCGTCCTCGCCTCCGCCACCGTCTTCGGCGGAAGGTACCCTCCGGCGCCGGGCTGTCTCGGGTGACAGCAGCAGCGACGCCATAGAAATCAGCAACGATTCGGGGGATGCTTATTGGTCGAGAGCACTTGAGGAGCACTTGGAGTGCAGTCATCAACCTCACATCCAGGGCCGGGGAGCTAAGAAGCGCACCCAGCGGGCCGGATGATCGGCATCGGGTTACGGGCTAGGGAGCCCTAGCCCCGGGGGTGCGCGTTCGCAGGGCAAGGGCCGTAAAAGTAAACAAACAAACACGGGTCTCCGAGGGCTCCGAGTACTTTCTTCTCAACAACGGAGTGCATTGCCGTTCTTAACGGAGTCGCTTAGGCGGCTCCGGTGGTGAGCCGGTGTGTGTGCCAGTCCGCGCCAGTCCGCGCCCTTGTCGTGCCAGTGTGGTGTGAGAAAGGCTTGTATTTTAAGAATTCGCGGAGGAGGTGGAGGAGGCCGCACGGGCGGCGGAGAAGGCGCGGGCGGCGGAGGGGAGGAAGGGCGGCGGCAGCGGGCGGCAGTCCCGCGAGGCACGCCGGCGGAAGGGTTCGTCTTCGCGGGGCGGGGTGCGCACTGCGCGCCGCGAGGATGAGGAGCCTGAGCCAGGGGAGGGTTGGGAAGGGGGGGCGAGGCCGGAGGAGTATGACGGCCTCTTCGACGGCCCATAAGGGGCCGTTGTCTGCTGTGCCTTTTGTGGTGCTAGTTCGTGCCAGTCTGCTAAAGAAAGAAAGAAAGAAAGAAAACAGACAACCCAAGGGAGGGATGGGAGGACGGCACGCCGCCACCACACAGGCTGCTGTGAGAGGGGCTTGTTTTTGTAGAATTTAAACAAAACAACTCTCTCTCACAGCACACAGGCTCGACACAGGTGCGAAATCCGAGACCCCTCCCCACCGCCCCGATCCCCCCACCCCTTTGCTCCCCTCCCCCCCTCGGGAGGGCCGAACTGAGGCGCCCGTGGGGACCCCGCACTTCCCTTCCCCCCTCGGAGGGCCGGACTGAGGCGTCGAGGGCCCCGCTCTTTCCCTCGCATAGCGGCCACTCTTCGGATCGCTGGTCGAGCGACCCGGGGGATGCCCCGCGCGCCTGACCCAGGCGCGAAAACGAATCTGCGAGGCGTGGCCGCTTATGCGGCCCGATGGGGAGGAGGGGAAGACGTAGGGCGTGCTTGCGCGCCTTTCTGAGGCCCCTCCAACCCACCCGCGCTAGGTCCTAGGTGACGTAGGGGAAACCCGGCGAGCCTGGGGAACTAGCCGGGGCAGTCGGAGAAGTGGCAACTCCGTGCACTGACGGTCGGCCGCCAGAAAACACGCCTCCGTGGCTCGGGTTACACCAATCCTCGCTACCCAACGCGGCCAAAGGATATCCACCTCGAGAACCTCGAGAGAGGCGCGTTCTACTCGCAGAGTGTGGGTAAACGAAAGTACCGTATACGGTACTATCAGAGAAAAAGCCGAAAAAGACGCCGGCGGCCGTCCCGACGAGCCAGCCAGCTGCCGGCTCGCACGGCAGCCTCTTCCTATGGACCAGCCTCGACTTCCATACAGTCAACATTTTGTCGCTGCGTGCTCGTGGTGAGCTGTGGCGGCGGTCGAAGTTCGCCCAGATTCGGTGACGAGCGCCGGACGATAGTACCGCCTCTGTTCGCCCTGTGCATGTCAGGCCAGGCTGCAGCAGGGCACTACCATCGTGCTGCCCTGTTGCAGCCTGACTTTTCCCACTGTGCACAGTCGCCAGAGCACCACCACCGCCCGGCATCGTGTCACGGCGAGCTCCTTCTGCGCCCGCTCGCGAGGCTCTCGCGCTCGCACACTTTGGCCATCTGCTGCTCGCGTTCGGCGAGCTCTTCTCCGCACTCCTGCCACGGTGCCGTCACCACACACCTTCTGGCTGGCCTGAGCCGCGCGGGGTCGCCGGCGGGGGCAACGCGTCGACCTCTCTCTCTGGTGCACCACGGGCCGCAACGGCCTGCGAGCAGCTTGCGCGAGGAGGCAGTGTGCCGGCACAGTCGAGCCGGAGCATCGGGTTCTTGATGCATCTGGGGTCAAGTTTGACCTTATGTGGTATAATATGCAACAATAATGCTATGCTCTCACCCAGCCTTTTGAGATATGATCCCTCAAAGTCGAATTTTCGTTTACTGGTGACCATAGTACCGTTTGTCTTGTTTGCGTTTCTTCAAACGAATCCTTTAAAGTCTCGACAATCACTCAGCTGCTTATGTGGCACCGCAGAGGCTCCCTTGGGGATGCCTGAGGCCACCCCAACCACACACTAAGCCGTACGTAGACGAATTGCGCGCTACTTTTTTCGTTTACCCACATTATGCGAGTAGTTCTGGCTTGTAGAATTCTCAACCACAAGGCTGTGCAGACTTTGGCTACAACAGCGCGCGGCGAGTGACAGCTCCACTAAAATTTTACACATGCAAGCGCTCTCCACGGTCGCGTCGGCGGCACGCCTCGTCCCTGGCTTCCTCGTCGTCGACTTTGACGGCACCTGCACCGTCAAGGAGACGATCGGTCTGCTGCCACGGCTGGCCGCCCACCTTGGGCAGGAGAGTGCGGCGGCGGCGAAGCTGGCGCGCTTCAAGGAGCTGGAGGAGGAGTACATCGCCGGCATACGCCGCGTGAACGCGCGTCACGACCTCGACGGGCCTCCGCCGGCCTCGCTCGACCTCGTCGGCCTGGAGCGCTCTCACACACACCTCGCTCGCCCTCTCTGCCTGCCTGCCTTGCATCCCTTCTCTCCGCTCGGTGCACGCAGTGTGCGGCCGTCCAACGCCTTGGCGGTGTGTGTTCACACTCCAGGAGCGCTGCCTCGCGGAGCAAGACGCCCACTCGACCGAGGCGACGCACCCACAGCCCGATCGAGCCCGAGATCGGCCGAGATCGAGCCCGAGATCGGCCGAGATCGAGCCCGAGATCGGCCGAGATCGAGCCCGAGATCGGCCGAGATCGATCCCGAGATCGGCCGAGATTGGAGCCCGCGATCAGCCGAGATAGAACAAGCAAGTAGAGACGGCCGGGTGCTCCGGAGCAAGAAGTGCCGGACCGGGCCTCTAGGTGACGAACCGCGTGGGCGAGAGCGGCGTGCTGGCCGGCATCTCTCCCTCCGCCGTCGCGCCGACGCTCGCAGAGTGGGCGGCCAACCCAGCCGCGCCGCCGATCGCAGAGCTGCGCCACGGCTGCGCAAGCACTCTCGGCTCGGCCTCCGCGGCCGGGAGCCGGCTCGGGGTCCTGTCGATCAACTGGTCTCCGCCGCTGATCCGCGCGACCCTCTCCCCCCTCGCCGCTCCGCTAGAGCTCTGGTGCAACGAGTTGCAGCCGGACGGGTCGATCGTGCTTCCCGTCCCCGGCGCTGCCGCCAAGCGCGCGAGAATCGCTGCCCTCGTCGACGCGGTGTGCGCGAGGCCAGTCGTGTACGTGGGCGACTCTCCGACCGACCTGCTTGCGATGCTCGAGGCTGACGTTGGGGTGATCATCGGCGAGTCCGCCTCTGCGCGCCTCATCGCGCGCCGTTTTGGCGTCCGGATCGCGCCGCTGCCGCCGTCGCTGCGGGAGTGCCTCGCAGCGCGGGGTGCGCAGGAGGGCGAGGTCGCGGCCGCCGCAGACAGCCCTGGCGTGGTGTGGGAGGCGGGGAGCTGGGAGGAGATACGGCGGTGTCTGCTGAGCGAGCTGCAAGATCCAATCTGACACGTGGGGCAAGGCCGCCCTTCAAGCACTGTTCAAGCATTGCCACTGTTCATGTTCCTTCTTCGTCCGTGTACACGGCATTTTAAACGTGCAACTGCTGCCGTCCCGCGTGGGCGGTTCCTGATCCTGTCGTTTAGCGAGACGTAAAGACAGTGTGGGTTGCGTGGGAGACGCGCGAGGGTGCAGCTGCAGGGTCGCCCCCCCCCCCCCCCCCTCCCCCGCAGCGCCCCACCACCTCTTCGTGGGCTACAACGTAGGTTGTGACTGTGTGTGTGGAGAAGTTTATCTTACTACCTTACCTAGTACGCTACGTGATGTATCTTATGACGAGGACACCGGCTCCGAGGAGTATTCCGACGACAGGGCGTCCGACTAGCTGGCTTCACGTAAACGCACAACCCCGGGCCCCGAAATCGCACAGTGATGACCGAGTGACATGCAACACGGGGTCCCAGGGAAGGCGAGCAAAAACCTTATCGCGCGCGCTAGACGCCGACTCGGAGGCCGCACCGGTCGGGCGCGCAGCCGGAGAGAGAGGGAGGCGCTCAATCGCCGAACTCGGCGCTGGCTTCACCCATATCTTACCCCTTCCGTGCCCCCCCCTCCTCCGACCCCCCAGGCTAGATGGAGTAGTCAGATGTAGATTCTGCCCCACACAGCCCCTTACCCCTTCACCCTCCTAACCGCCACGCCGCGAGACAACGTGTGAGCATAACTACGCGGAATTCGGCCAAAAGAGCTCGAACTTTGAACGAGGGTACAGCCCAACTTACGATGTCTGCACACTTACAGACACGCACGAGCGAGGCTCGTGCGTCCCACGCCATGTTCATGTTCATGTGCGCAAGTGTGCGCGCGCATCGGACTGGCCGCAGCGATCTATTGCCGCGGCGTCGCGGCATACTAAGCGTCTGTCGCTCTAACCCCCCGGCTCCACGAGCCAAGAAGCGGCAGAGCACATCGGTGGCGCAGCGGAGCGTGTCGGTGCTCGCGTGACAAAGAGCTGTCAGTGGTCATGTCATGTGCCTGCTGGGAAGCTCGCACATGCCTGCGTGTCCTCGTCTAGTGGGATGAGTATGCAACACGACGCCATGCGTGCGCCTTCCCACAAGCGAGTGTACATCATCACGCCTTAAGGCTGGCCCTTCAGCTCATCAATCACGGCAACTCACTGGGCACGGCAACTGCAAGAACCCAACCAACAGTAGCACCAACCGGATTGGCATTGGTCGTGCCCATAGCGAACCCGGTTGCACGATATGCCATTGGCAAGCTTATATTCGCACGCCCCCGAGCACACCGAGCCAGCGGTAAATCCAGAAGTATGAGCTATGGCACTGGCTGTTCACGCGACAGGGCCCACCCGGATACATCAGGCCGTCCGATTCGACGCATTTGTTGCATGTGCACTGCCCACTATAACACTCTTGGTCGCCACCACCGACAGTGCCACAAGATTCTTGAATATCCTTTAGCTCTCGACAGGTACCAAGGCCAGCCACCCAACTGCAATAACCGTATACCATGTTGATATGGCCACTCTGGCATATTTCGTTTGACCAGCAGTCGGCCCCTTCTGGGCATTTCCCTGAGGCATCGGAGCAGTAATCCGTTGATCCGCGTATGTCGCAGCAAATGCCGGTCGTACACCCTGAGTCGGAATCTGAACCACTCTGATCAGGGCACACTTGATTCGGGCCATTCTTGGCGGTGCAGGTACCAGTGCCAAAATAGGAACCCATGCAATAGCCACTCTCGCAGTAGTCATTTTGATAGCAATCTGCCCCATCCACTGCCTTGGGGGGCTTGGGGGGCGGCGATGGCGGCGGCAGCGATGGCGAGCTTCGAAAGAAGTCGGCCAAACGCTCGCTTTTGTAGCATCCTTTCGGGTGGCAAGGAAATTTATCAACTTGGTCAAACCGACGCTTGTCTATCGCCGGCACGGAGTGCATTCTCCGTCGTTGCCGGTCGGGGTGTTGGTCGGGACATGGGCGACGCGACCAATGCACCGCTTCCATGGCCAGAGACCACGTCAGTGCAGTTGGTCGCGCCGCCCCGCCCTGCGTCGCCCGCCGCCGCGCCGCGCCGCCGCGCCGCGCCGCCGCCTCGCGCCGCCCGTCGCCGCGCCGCGCCGCCGCCCGACAATTATTAATTCATTATTAATGAAGTAATAAACAATTATACCACCCGCCGCCGCGCCGCCCCGCACTGCGTCGCCCGCTGCCTCGCCGCGCCGCCGCCTCGCGCCGCTCGCCGCCGCGCCGCGCCCCCGCCCGATGATTAATAATTAATAATTATTACCCGATTATTAATAGCGTGTGTGTTTGTGTGTGTGTGTGTGTGTGTGTGTGTGTGTGTGTGTGTGTGTGTGTGTGTGTGTGTGTGTGTGTGTGTGTGTGTTTGCCTGATGGCACGCCACGCCACCGCCTCGCATCGCCACGTACCGTGCTCAGCACTGCGTCGCACCTATTTCGGAGTGAGGGCCGTAGCCCCAAGTGACCCACCTCGCGCGCTCTGGCCTGTCTGGTCTTAGAGCGTCATGTTGAGAGTAGACTCGAGTTGCCCCCCTCGTCAGTCCTGCACGAAGCTTCCGCTCCGAGAATACTTACGGAATACAAGGTGGGTGGCGAATCGACGTCAGAAGTCCGTACGGAGATACGAAATACAAGGGGGGTGGCGAATACGTCAGAGGTATGTACGGAAATTCGGAATGCAACGGGGGCGAATACGTCAGAAAAGTAGTACGTAGGGGCGCAGCGGCGGGCAGACGTGTGGTTAGGCGCTCGGGCGGGCAACCGTGCGAGATGACCCGAGATGACCCGAGATGACCCGAGATGACCCGAGATGACCCGAGATTACCCGAGATTACCCGAGACGACCCGAGATGCATCACCCTAGATTACCCGGGATTACAATTAATAGTTAGATGAGGACGTGTCAACTGTGAGGTGCCGACGCGTGAAGTGCCCCGAACTTTCATCTGTGTTACTGTGAAGGACCGACGTGTGAAGAGCCTCGACCAATTAACAAATAAGTGAGGACGTGTCCTCCATGAAGGACCGACGTGTGAAGAGCCTCGACCAATTAATAAATAAGTGAGGACCTGTCATCTGTTAAGGGCCGACGTGTGAATAGCCTCGAGCAATTAGTTAGGTGAGGACTTGTCACCTGTGAAGGAACGACGTGTGAAGAGCCTCGACCAATTAATAAATAATTGAGAACGTGCCACCTCGGGCGATGAATAATTAGGTGAGGACTTGTCCCTCAAGCAATTAATAATACGTGGAAGGGAAGGGCAGGGCAGCGGCGAGCGGCGAGCGGCGTCGACGACGCAGCGAGGACACAGTGGTGACGCGATGGTGACGCACACAGCGGCAGCGTTCGCGGCGCAGCGCCGACGGCGGCCCCGCGCCGCGGCGCTTTGAGTGAGGCAGACTACCCTGCACAGCCTGCTGGGCACTCCCGACGAGCGGCACGCCACGCGCGCCCGCCGCGGGCGACGCGGGCGGCGAGCCGACACGCCTCTCACAGGCTTGGACAGCACTGGCGAGGTGAGGCAGCCAGCGCCGGCCTCGGAGGCGGCTGCAGTAAAAGCAGCGAGCCAGAAGATACTGTTCAGGGTGTAGTGAGCAGGCTGCCGCAGCGCGTCGCTGCCACTTTGGCGCGACCAGGCCCCCTACTGGGAAGGAGCCAGAACCCTGCCAGGCTTGCCTGGCTCCCCAGGCCACTGCCAGGCCTCTCCTGACATGCCTGAGGCCGCGAATGCCACACCATCGTCGCTCGTCGACAGCAAGATTGCGGCGCTGCTCGCTCGCGCGCTGGGGGGTAGTCCGGCATCCGGTTCGCTGGGCGGGAGCGTCCTGGTCGGCGATGGCCTCGTGGTGTGCCCTTCGACGCGCAGTTGCGACTCGTCGAGGCTAACCGAGTACTCGCGGCACGACCGGCCCGCCGTCCTCTTCCGCTCGCCGCTGCTTGGCGTCTCGCCGGCGCTGACACGCTGGCGCGACCCAGTCTACCTAGGCCGTGCGCTCGCCGCGCACGACTGCCTCGAGGTGGCTCACTCGCCCGCGTCGACCGTCGGAGGCTGCGTGCATGGCGGTCGGCAGCTTTCCGCTCTGCTCGAGCGCAGCCGGCGTGCGCCCTGCCGGTGGCCGTCGCGGCACGACTACTCCTACCTCTTTCACGAAGCGATGCCCGGTGGAGCTCCCAAATCTACCGAGAGAAAGAGCACTCAGAGCCCAGAGCGGGCCAGACGCACATGGCGAGACGTAGCCGACATCTAGCCGGCATCCACATGTAGCCGGCGGCATCCACAGCATGTAGCCGGCGGCATCCACAGCCTGCCGTGCGAGCAACGGAAAGAACGGGAGGCTGCGCAGCGTCCACAGCATGTAGCCGGCAGCAGCTCGTGCACGCACCCGTCGCCCACGTCGAAGAGCTGGTCGCGCCACGGCTGCCGCGTAGGTGCAAGCAGTCCGGGAGGACGCGACTCGTGGAGGCGAGACCCGCAGCTGGGCCGCAGTACGAAGCGGGCACACACCGCGACAAGTGCGTGTGCGCCATAGGCTCTTGGCGAGGGACCTGCCCCTGCCGTCGCTCGCGCGGCTGGGATCGCTCGCGGAGAGAGACCTCACCGTGGCTCGGCTCTATGCGGGCGCCGCACTCACCGGGTCGTACCTTCATTGGCACGCCGGCGCCCTCAACTACCTCGCGGCGGGTGCCAAGCTGTGGCTGGTCGCGCCGCGCTCGTCGAGCGGCGGCCCGCTCCGCCGGTTCACGTACGGCCGCGTCTCCAACATGTCGACGCATCGCTGGCTCCGCTCCGAGCTCCCGACGCTGCTTGCGGTGCCGCGCCTCGCGCTCTTTGTCCAGAGAGCGGGCGAGGCGGTCTACGTGCCGCCGTATGCGCCGCACGCCGTCGTGAATCTCGAGTACAATGTCGGCGCGACTTTCACGCTGAAGGCTGCCGAGCCGTCTCTGCCGGTTTGGCTGCTCGCGAGCCTCTTCGGCGGGTGAGAGCTGAGACAGGAGTCTCAGGACGTAAACACGACGCACTTGGAGCACTTGGACGCGTTTTAGCTTACCACATTATAACGCGGTAGCGTTCGGATCGTGCACTGGCCGGGCGTGGAACATACCCGTTCCACGTGCAGAACTTGCAGGCGGGCTTCGAATCGCAAAGGCTTTTCTTAATTGTGTGTATCGCGCGATAGCCTTTAAAAGAAATCGCGCCCAACCGAATCCCCGAAAGTTCTGATCCCCTAGCGAAAGAGAGACCGTCAGGGACAGGGGAGCGGGATGGAAAAACTAAAACTAAAAATCTTTCCGCCGCGCACCCCCCGACAATAGGGGCTTTCGGCAGGCAGCGCGAACCGCTGTGCCTCGGCGCGCCGGCCGCCGAAATCCTCTCAGAGTTCTTTGGCATAGGGGAACCCCGACCCTAAATTTTTTTCGACTGCGGCGGGCCATCAACCCCCACACGAAAAAAATATAATTAAAATTCGTGCATATCGTCGGATTTTCGTTCGGCGACGCAAACTTCTCGTCCCACGTTCAACACGGCGCCCGTGCATGCAGAAAGGATGCGTCCCTAATCCGTCCTTTTGGGGGGACGACCGACGGCTTTTTGCGCCACTCCCCTCTCTCATCGAGCATGAGCGGGGAGCCGGTGATGGTCGACAATACTGGCCGTACGTGGCCGCGCATCACCAAGGACAACGCTGCGCAGCACCCGTACCCCAGCCTGCGCCACTGCAAAGAGCGAGGGCCCGGCACGGCGCCCTACTGCTGGTACCTGCAGATTTCCGGCGAGCCGACCTGGGACCAGGAGTATACGTCATTCAAGAAAATGAAGGACATGTGGGACGGCTGGACAGGCAAGAATGAACGACGTGCGCAGGCCCGGCGCGAGAGCGCGCATCTAGGGTACGATACTTGACCCCCCCCCCTTGGCGCCTCGTGTTTTTCGTGCCAAACCAGCGCGATCTCGGCGGGGCGTCAGCGCCTCTCGGAGGGGCATCATGCGCTCCCGGGGCCGCCCGACGGGGCGGGCCTCTTGCTGATGGACCCAGCCGAGGTGCCCAACCAGTCGCAGCCGCGCTGACGCGCCGCGCGCGACCACCAGCCAGCTTTTCGAGGGGCCCGAGCACGGTGCGCCGAAAGAGTAGACACTCTCCGGTCCATCCGGAATTTTGTCGTTTTAGTTAGCACTGCTGCTGCAGACAGGGCCCGCGTGACCCCATGCCCTTCCCGGATCCAGCTCGCTGAGGTGTGACGTCACCCCGATGACCGCCCACAGGTGGCTGATCGAAGCGCCACTCATCGCTGCTTTCGCGCGCCTGCTCCACAGAGGGCTCCTGCGGCTCTCCCTCGTCGCGTGACCGCCGCCGACATCATCTGCTCGGTCGTGCCCGCCGGCGCGGAGCTGCGCCACGTCGAATTGTTCGGTGGCTCGACCGCCGGCGCGCCCACCCTCGCCTCCTGCGCGCCTCACACCCAGTATTTTCCTCGCGCGCGGCCGACAAAGTAGGCACACGACCACCTCCCTCCCACTCACCCCCCCCCCACGATGCACAGCCCGTCCACTCTCGCCGGCAAGGCGCACGGAACGCCCAATTTGGGCTGGAAATGCCGCCGCCACGGGTTGGTGGCGCCCTCGGCAGCGGGGCAGCGCCACGCCGCGCAAACTTGCGCGACAAACTTGCGACCTCTGTCCCTCGTATTCACCCCAGATTTTGCCCTATCCAGGCTCACCCGGTACCGCGAGCGACGAGCCGCGCCAAGTTTGCTCCATTTCCGACAAGTTCATCCCGCCCGAACGCCGATCTTCGGCCGCCTGGAGGCCCAGGACGGGGCTCGGGACCGGCCAGGTGTGGATTCTCCACGGCGCTGCGGTGTATCTGCGCGCCCATGGCGCGTTCAGGGGTGTGCCTGAGGCGTGTAGACTGCGGGGCGCCGCGATAGCGCGGCGCCGACGGTTGTGTCGCGCACTGTCACACCCACGACGCGGTCACAGTGTGTGTGCAGTGCGTCCACTCCGGCGACCGTGACGCCGTCGGCGCTCGCCTATACCGGCTAGTGTGGAGCTTTCAGTGTGGTTGCGTGTTGTACTAGTGATGCTGCACTAGGCGGCCCGTTTTTAGCAAAAACCAGATACCACATCGCGTGTGGTCGTCGAAAAACCGCATCTTCGCCCGTCTGGGACCTCTTCGTACGGCTCCAAAAACCGCTCCTTAACGACGGCTACGCGGCCCGGCGGTCGATCTGCGCCTTCTCAGCGGTGGAGGGGATGTGGGCGGTATGTGCGTACCGCGTGGTGTTGCGACGGTTTGACGAGTGCGACTCCCAGCGTCGACTTTTCGACCCCACGGAGCCTCTGCTGCTCCGGGGGGGGGGGTCTGCAGACCACCCGGCCGAACTTCAGAGTCGCGGTGCTCCTCAAATACCGCTCAAACGCCCACGATGTTGTGGAGGGGACATATGCTGATGATCCTGGCCCGATTGGTTCGCTCAGAAAGCTTCTGGGCGGTCGTTAAGGTTCGCTCCCCGCACACCGGCCCGGAAGTATCGTACCCTAGACGGCAGCAGCAGGAGACGGATCGCCAAGGCCACCGTGACAGCTATCGTGATGCAGCTGCTGCTAGTCGTGCTGCCACCAACGCGGCTTCCACGGCGCTGTTGCCCCACGAAGAGGCGCAGGCTTCGATCCTCGAGTCACGCGCAGGCGCAATGGCGGCAACTCTGTTGGGAGCAGTGGGCGCCGATGGGCTCGTTCCCTTTAAGCCGATGGTATTGGGCTTTGAGCGGCGCCGACATGAGCAGCTGCAGATGTGCCCGCAACTCTGGGGGGTGGCGTATAAATTGGCGGGGGAGGACGGTGCACGTATGATTGTTGACAGCCCTGAATGGTTGCACAATTTCCAGTGCCACGGCCCGCACTGCGAGCAGCCAATTTTCGAGCCTCACACGAGCCCGTCGGATTGCCGGCTCATCCACTTGTGCGACGGACGTGGCGAGGCAGATGCAAGGGACGCAGCAGCTCTGCCTTCATTGCCGCGTTTGCCACCCATCAGCCTACCTGTGCCACATCTCGAAGACGTCAAGAGCCGCTTTGAGTCAGGAAGATCCAGCGGGATCATGTACGACGCAGAGGCGGAGGCGGCACGCCAGGATTGGGACGGCGAGCATGGCAAAGCAGAGCCCTTCTATGCTGTGTGGAACGGCCCCAAGCTTGACTGGCCAGCGTACCTCAAAGCTGAAGTCTTCGAGGGCGACCCGTCAAGGTGGCTAGAGATTCAGGTGCAGTCGTCAGCAGAGGATGATGCAAGCGGACTCTCTCGAGAATGGAACTGGCTTCGCTCGCGGTGGGATGACACAAAGGCATTGACCTGCGATCAAACTCTCGAACCCAATTCAATCTTTGCAGATTGGCGGCTAGAGGGTATGGGTGGACGAGGGAGTGAGGGGCTACTTCCTCCGTGGTTGCTGATTCGGCGCGTGCTCGCCATCATGGAGTCACGGTTGCAAATGCACGGGCGCCGGCTGTGGTGGCGTTCCGTCTTCTACGCCCCACCTGGCTTTGCAAAGGAGTCTGACTCGCGACACGTCGAGTGCAATCTGGCCCTCATTTCCCACATGCAGCTGGCAGGCCTCGGCGAGCGGCGATTCGACAAAGAGCGGGCACAGTACCTCGGCAACGAGCTCAACCTCGTCGGTGGCATGCCCCTCGAGCGACAGCGTGCCAACTGGCATGGCTGGAACGGCCGATGGGGTGAGGCATTCTTTTCGACGGGTGGATCAAGTTCGAACTTCTTGAACAATTATCTTTTCAACAGCCACCACAGCATCGAAACGCCGTGGTGGTGCCCGCAGCGAAACCAGTGGATTGGGCACCGGCCCCTGGGCGGCTGCGACACGTGTGTGCTACCACCAAACTTTGCGTTGCCGTACCTCTGCACGAATGACGGGCGGACCAAACACCACATTCTCAAGGCGCTCGTCGACCTCAACCAGCGGCAAGGCGCACTGTGCAAGCACCACTACCATCCCGAGATGGCTATCCTCGAGCACCTCACCTATGATAACTACGTCCACGATTGCTGCCGTCGGGCCGCAGAGGGGCCGCCATCGATGTGGAGGGACGCCGAGCGATCCCTGCAGGAAGAGATGGCGCGGCGGAACCCTCTGCGGCCCTCCACTTCCTGGCAACCTAGGTATGGCCCCACCCGCTGCTGCGGGCTTGAGATGCGCTCTGCTACCACCGACCAGCCCTCCTGGGCCTTTGCTGCGCCGGGATACTGCTGTGATCATTGGCAGCTCGGGCGCGCAACCATGACCGTACTTGGCTTTCGACCAGTGCCAGGCGGCGAGACGGAGCAAGGGATTACATACGCAAAGTGGATGCAATGCTCTGGAGAACGCTCTTCTCGTCAACATGCCAGTGAGCGCATCTCTGAGCTGCATCAGCACGTGATCTTGCCGAGCTTCGATCCGAACGGAGAGTCACGAGTGGACCGCATCGCGCGAGCCGTGCTCAACGCGCCAGTACCAGCTGTGGTGCCTACCGTGGCCGCTCATTCCTCTCTACAGTGCATGGAGTGTGAGGAGTGAGGATTGGTGTCCCATTAACATTATGACTTACTTACCTCTTGTCAAGTGAGTGCTTCTTTTCGGCGCCGCCGCGCCGCCACCCCTTTTGCGCAGCAACACCTTAAACTTCATGGCCCTCCAAATTCGGGTCGGAGCGTAGCGGAGAGGGCCCCGAGTTTGAAAAGGGCGACGGACGCTTGCGTCCTAGCCTCCAACAACGCCTCCCCGGCGCAGAGGGGCCCCCGGAGGGATGCTCAACCGCTCCACGCCACGCCGCTTGCGGCGGTCCTATTCCCAGCTCCGCTGAGGGCCGTCGCGTTATTTAACCCACTGTAGGTGATTCACGGCTACTCGCAGAATGTGGGTAAACGAAAGTAGCGTATACGCTACTATGAAAGAAGAAGCCGAAAAAACACGCCGGAGTCAGTCCGCCCGAGCCAGCCAGCTGCCGGCTCGCACGGCAGCCTCTTCCTCTCGACCAGCCTCAACTTCCGTACAGTCAGCATTTTGTCGCTGCGTGCTCGTGGCCAGCTGTGGCGGCGGTCGAAGTTCGCCCAGATTCGGTGACGAGCGCCAGACGATAGTAGTGTCTCTGTTCGCCCTGTGCATGTCAGGCCAGGCTGCAGCAGGGCACTACCATCGTGCTGCCCTGTTGCAGCCTGACTTTGCCCACTGTGCACAGTCGCCAGAGCACCACCACCGCCCGGCATCGTGTCACGGCGAGCTCCTTCTGCGCCCGCTCGCGAGGCTCTCGCGCTGGCACACTTTGGCCATCTGCTGCTCGCGTTCGGCGAGCTCATCTCCGCACTCCTGCCACGGTGCCGTCACCACACACCTTCTGGCCGGCCTGAGCCGCGCGGGGTCGCCAGCGGGGGCAACGCGTCGACCTCTCTCTCTGGTGCACCACGGGCCGCAACGGCCTGCTAGCCGCGTGCGCGAGGAGGCAGTGTGCCGGCACAGTCGAGCCGGAGCATCGGGTTCTGGATGCTTGTGGGGTCAAGTCTGACCTTATGCGGCCTAATATGCAATAATAATGCTATGCTCTCACCCAGTCTGTTGAGATATTATCCCTCAAAGTCGAATTTTCGTTTACTGGTGACCCATAGTAGTGGTCTGTCTTGTTTGCGAGATCTTCAAACGAATCCCTTAAAGTCTCGACAATCACTAAGCTGCTTATGTGGCACCGCAGAGGCTCCCTTGGGGATGCCTGAGGCCACCCCAACCACACACTAAGCCGTACGTAGACGAATTGCGCGCTACTTTTTTCGTTTACCCACATTATGCGAGTAGTGTCGAGCCGACTCCGTACCCGGGTACTGGGGCTCTACGCTGGGGCGCCGGCGCGGCCTGCCACTGACTGGCCTGCGCAGCCACTTTTTCGACGCCACTCGCCGTCTCGCTGTCGAGTCAGAGTGGCGGGTTCAAAGCTGCTCTTCGGGTGACGGCATGGCGCAAAAGATCCATGCTGCGAGATTCGACGCCCTGCCGAACAGCTCCGCCCGGAGCGGTCGCCACCGCGCCAGGCCGCGGAAGCGGCCGGCGGAGCTCCAGGTCATTGGCGCGGGCTGCGGCCGCACAGGCACGACCTCGCTCAGCATGGCCCTCGAGCGGCTTGGGTTTGGACCGTGCCACAGCATGGCTGCGGTGGCGAAGATGGTACGCGAGCGGCCGTGGGCTCGCGCGCTGGAGGAGCCGGAGCGGGCCGACTGGCGCGGGCTCCTCAGCGGCTTCGGCTGCAGCGTCGACTTCCCCGCGTCGGTTGCGTACCAGTGGTTGCTCGCGAGCTTTCCAGACGCCAAGGTGATCCTGACCGTGCGCGACCCGCACGACTGGGCGCGATCTGTTGCCACGACCATTTGGAGCGAGTACAGCGCCGAGCGCTCGGCTCTGCTTGCGCCTTTCCGCTCGGCCGCCCGCAGGCTCGGCCGCGCCTACCGCGCCCACTTTTTTGAGGACTCTGACGGCGGCGTAATGTCTGGAGAGCTGCGTGACACGCGTGCGCTCGCCACCCGCTTCGAGGCGTGGAATGCGCGGGTCGCCGCGGCGGTGCCGCCGGAGCGGTTGCTTGTCTTTCGCGCCTCGGACGGTTGGGCGCCGCTGTGCGCCTTTCTCGGCGTGCCCGTGCCGCGCACGCCCTTCCCGCGCGCCAACGATAGCGGCGCCCACACGGACCGCATGCTGGCGATCTGGCGGCGCGCCGTCGCAATCGAGGCGCTCTACCTCGCCCTGGCTATCGGCGCCGTCGCAGCCGCCGCCACGAGGCGAGGCCGCACCGAGGCGGCGCTCGCAGTGTCGTTGGCGCTACTGCTCTCCGCCGTAGGCTTTCTTCAGCCGGACTGAGGCCGGAACGGATGTGTTGCAATAGATACCGACACGGCTCGAGACGCGATGAGCCGAGACAATGGACACGTGCCACGAGCGTGTGTTCTTTTTTTCGGCCTGGTTGTTCTCACACTTTTGACGAGAGCCTGGACACGTTTTGGCGACGGCGGCCCGCCAAACGGTGGAGCCACGACTGTCTACGGCACTCACAAGACGATTTGTTCCAGTCTTAGCCAGCAAAAGGGAGCACACACGACTTAGCAAGTCCGCACTAGCGACTGCCACTCGCCTAACCATGCCTTGTCACAAGTGCTCTCCCAATCGCGTACAGGCACACACACTCCGCCTGTTCTCACCCAAACACTCTATCACACCCTTGCCTCCCTGCCAGAGCGAGCTAGATTCTCCCCGCCTCCCTCCCGCCTCTGCCGCGCGCCTTCTATGGACGTCAAGTGCAGCACCTAGGGGGAGAGAGGGGGTTTGCCCTGGTAGGGAGGTGGCGAGGCCGCGCACTGCAAACCCAGTGTGAGGAGTGGGGGAGCTGGGACAGGGCGTGTGCGCCTCTGATCTGTCATGGTCTAGTGGCCGATAGGATCCTCCCTTAGGCAGCGATGGCGGGTCGGGAGAGGCCCGAGTTCTCAGCCCGCCACTTACTGTCAGCCTCTCTGACTGCCCAGGGTCTCACCACGATGCCGCCCGAGTAGAGGGGGTAAGGTGTGTAGAGTGCGGCTGTGTATGGAACCTCTCTCTCCGTGGATCTCACCTGAGCCCACTCGCGGTGCGAAGGCTCCTAATGCGGCAACTGAGCCCGCAAGGGTGGGTCACTAAGGGGGAGGTTACGTTGGTTGATATGTTGTGTTGTGGCGTAAAGCTGTGCAGCGGCGCAGCGAGCCCTGCCGCGGCTCGTCGTCGAGACTGGTCGGTGGGTGGTGCCTGTGTAACAGCTGAGGCAGGGAGACTGCCTGTGAGTAGCGCAGCCGCGCGGTCGCCCGAGGAGTTGGGATGATAGGTGGAGAGACAGGTGCGACCGTACCTGGGTATGGCGCAGGCTGGTGGCTAGGGTTAGCTGGGCGCGCACGGCGAGTCCAGTCACATTGCCGCCAGCAATGCGTCGTCGGCGAGACACGGACGCACGCAAATATGTTGTGTCCGCGCTGTGAAGCAGGGCTCGCACTCGTAGGTATATTGTTGGCAAATCAAGACACAGAGCTCACACAGCACTCAACCTGCCAGAAACGTGCGACTGTTTGGCTCACGCCAGGGCGCTCGTTGCTCCTCCGTCTCTTTGTATCTTCCATACTGCGTTTATCAGAAGACTGCGACCCGAAGGCAGCAGGTCGGACCTTGAGACAGCATTGTAGATCCCTTGGGCGAGGGTGGTGGAGAGGGCGGTCCGTCGGCGCCAAACCACCTCCCACCGAGGCGGGCAGGTTCCACGCGTTCCCAGACAGCCCCATTGGAGGTAGACCGCTCGTCTAGCCAATCAGCCTTAAGCGAGCGGCCTGGCCGTTGGAATGGCCGAGGAGGGGAGCGAGGACGACTGTCTCTGACGGCGAACCTCAGTTACGAGCCGCCCTCCCCTCGAGACGCGAGGCCAGTGCACTTGGGGCCAAGCCCCAGCGTGCACCGTCCCACACGCCTCACGCGGCCTCTGGCTGGAGCGGGATCGCAAGCGAATCCCCCAGGCCGGCGCACGTCTTCCGAGAGAGGAGCAGGAGCGAGGGACCTTCTTAGTTGTCCGGCATGCAGGCGCATGCACGGCCGTTCAGAAATTTTCCCAGCCGTTGGAATGGCTCCGCTCCTGCCCCTCACCGGGCCGAACGGGTAGTGGGCGTTGGCGCCGAGGAGGGAGGAGTCGCTGAAGGACGGGTAGTCGTCGGTCGTGCGGGGGGAGGAGGAGTCGGCGAGCAGCAGGGAGAAGAAATGCCTGAGAGGGTGGGGAGGGAGGCGTGAGGCGCGAGGTGAGGGGCGTGGGGGCGCGGGGGACGGGGCGTGCGTGGGACGCGCGGCGTGAGGCGCAGGGCGTGAGGCGGGAGGGCGCGGGAGCAAGGAGTTGTGAGTGTGTGTGTCTGTTTGTGTGTGTGTCTGTGTTGGTTTGTTTCATTGTTTGTGCGAGGGCAGGGCAGGGCAAGGCAGGGCGGCGGCGAGCGGCGAGCGGCGTCGGCGAGATCGGCGACGAAGAGAGGCGATGGTGACATACACGTCGGCATTGTTCACGGCAGCAGCGCCGGTGGCGGCCCCGCGCAGCGGCGGCGGCGCCCTGAGTGAGGCAGACTGCCCTGCACAGCCTGCTGGGAACGCTCCCGACGAGCGGCGCGCCATGCGGGCCCGCCGCGGGCGACGCGGGCGGCGAACCGACACGCGTGTCGCAGGCGTAGACAGCACTGGCGAAGCGAGGCGGCTGGCGCCGGCCCCGGAGGCGGCTGCAGTAAGAGCAGCGAGGCAGAAGTCACTGTCCAAGGCGTACTGAGCAAGCTGCCATCGAGCAGCGCGCCATGCGGGCCTGCCGCCGGCGACGCGATTGGAGAGCCGACAGGCATCGAAGGGGTAGGTACTGAGGAGGGCCATCGCGCCCGAGGCGGTCCGCGCCGGCCCTGCAGGCCGTCTCAGAGAGCCTGGCGAGGCTGTACAGAATGCCAAGAGCATACTGAGCAGGCTGCCGTCGAGCGACGAGCCATGCTGGCTCGTCGCAGGCGATGAGGTCGAGGAGCCGATCGGAGCGTCGCAGAGGCTGCCGACCACTGCCGTTCGCCCTCGGGCCCAGGGGTGGAAGGCAAGCTTCCTGGCGTTTCTGGCGAGCGTCCAGACGTCGCAGAGCATCCGGCAGGCGCGCAGCGACCCAAATTTTTGCTCACCGCACGGCCGTGCGAGCCGTCGGTCGGTGGTGATGGTCGGCGTCGGCGCGCGCCGCCCAACGCGGCGCCGGCGGTGGGCGTCATGTGGCGGGCGTGGGAAAGAGCATTGTCCGAATTGCGGCGGACGTCCCTACCGCCACAATTGTGTATCAATGGACAATGCGTTTCGGTGGGGATGTAGGAGCATCACCTTAGTTTCGGCTTTCGCGCCTCATCGGGTTGATGCCAGCGGAGTCCATTGAAGCTATGAAGCTATGAAGCGGTGTACACAACCGTACGGTCGGCGGACTTGTGTTCGCCCGTGACCCGGGGTTGCTCCCCAGGCCGAAGCTGCCGTTTCACTCGACTGACCAAACTGTGCGTCGTACGCGCGGTACCCGTTCAGCCGCGCCATCTCTAGCGCCGTTGCGGCAAATCCCCACACCTCTCACTCAAACAAGTCCTGCCGCTCCGGCCTGAGCCGCTTCCCCGTCGCGGACCGGGGGTAGCCAGGCCCGCCATACAACCCGCCTCCGCCGCGCCCAGAGCGGCTTGGCAATGCCTCCCCGCTGGCCTGCCCGGCAACAGAAGCCTCGCCCGCCGCTGCTGACGGCACGGCAAGGCACGCGCCAGAGCCGTCGCCAGGGCTGAGCGGGCCATCGGGCCGACGCGGAAGGCCGGCGATGCCAGATGCGCCCGCAGGCCGAGTTGATGCCTGCCCTCCGCCGCCGCCGCCGCCGCCGCCGCCGCCGCCGCCGCCGCCGCCGCCGCCGCCGCCGCCGCAATCGCCGCCGCCGCCGCCTCCACCGCAATCGCCGCCGCCTCCATAGCCTCCATAGCCTCCATAGCCTCCATAGCCTCCATAGCCGCCCCCGTCGCCACCGCCGCAGCGACCGCCACCGCCGACCCCGCCGCCGCCTCCGCCGCCTCCGCCGCCAGACTGGCCTGCGGGGGGACCTGGCCGCAGGAAGGAGCGGATGTCTGGCGACGAAGGCTTTGCGCCGCTGGCTGCCGCCGCCGCGGCGGGGCCAGAGAGCGCCGCCCCACGCAAGCCTGCGGCGGCGGGGCCAGAGGCACCGGAGCCGAACCCGGCGGCGCGGCCGCCGGACATCAGCGACGAGGTGACCTGCAACTTCTTCTCGACGAGGCGCCACATCACCTCATCGACGGAGCCGCGCGCGATGCAGTAGAAGACTTGCACGCGCTCCGCGAGCTGCGAGATGCGGTGAGCGCGGTCCTCCGCCTGCGCGAGGTCGGACGCGTTCCACGCCAGCTCTCCGAAGACCACGACGCTGGCCGCGGTGAGCGTGAAGCCATGCGAGGCCACCCGGATCGAGAGGATCGCCAGCCGTACGGCCGGGTCGCCTTGGAAGGTCGCCACGCGGTAGTCGCGCGCCTCGTGCGGCACCTCGCCGTCGATCCGCACGTGGCTGCACACGCCGCGCAGCCGCTCCTCCCACAAGTCGAGCACCGCCTTGTGGTGGCCAAAGAGCAGCAGCTTGCGCCGCCCCGGCGCGGCAAGCAGCCTCGCGACGTGGTCCGCCACCGCCGCCGCCTTCGCGCGCCCCGTCTCCATGTAGGCGAGCGTCATCTCCGCCGAGTGCTCCTTGGCCGGGCCCGCCGCTCGCTCCGCCTCGACTCGAGCCCACGCGCGCGCAGCCTCGGGCGCATCGATCAGCAGCACCTCTCGCACCTTTGGCGGCAGCTGCGACTGCACCTCCGCCTTTGTGCGTCGCACCATCAGCGCGTGCGTCAGCACGGCGTGGAGCTCCTTCACATGGCTCGCGCCCTTAGCGTCCCAGCCGAACCGCCCCTGGTGTGCGGCGGCGTACCGCCGCTCGAAGTCCTGCCGGCGGCCGAAGATCCCGGGCCGCAGCAGCTTCGCCTGAGTGAAGATCTCCGCCGGCCGGGAGGGCGACGGCGTGCCCGAGACGAGGACGAGCCTGCGCACGCCTCCCAGCAGCGGCAGCAGCGCCTTCGAGCGCTGCGACTCGGGCTCCTTGAGCGCGTGGCTCTCGTCTGCGATCGCCACGCCGAAGCCGGCCGCGCGCAGCTCCGCCGCGCGCCGGACCGCGAGGTCGTACGAGATGACCACCACACCGCACCCGCCCGAGAGCGAATCCTTGCCGCTCTCGACCAGCTGGACGCGCGGCAGCGGGGGCAGCGCGCCGCCGCCGCCGCCGCCCAAACCGCCGCCGCCGCCGCCGCAGCCGGACGCGCCAGCTGCGCCGGCGCCCCGCGCGGCCTCTGCCTCACCGCCCCACTTCCCCTCGCCCGCCCACGCGGCGGCCACCTCCGTCCCCACCGTCTCCTCCTCCCTCTCCTCCTCCACCGCCACCGCCTCCTCCTCCTCCGCCGCACCCTCCTCTTCTGACGTGTCGACATCCGACAGCACCGCTCTGACGCCGCCCCCCCGACGCGCCC